TTTCAACCTCCAGGAGTACACGGACACTGTACTCTCGTACATCAGGAACTGTGTTGACAATGTCACCGTCAACAAAAGGGTCAGGGTGTTTCCAAATCAAAAACCCTGGATGAATAGCGAAGTGCAATCCCTCCTAAAAAGCCGCAACACTGCCTTCAAGTCAGGGGACAGGGCTGCGTATAGGGCGGCCAGGGCAGACCTGAGTAGAGGCATCAGGAAAGCTAAGGCTGCCTATAGGAGGAGGATTGAAGATCACTTTGCTGACAACGACCCCAGAAAAATGTGGCAGGGGATCAATCACATTACCAACTACAGAAGCAATAACCAGGCAACATCTAGGACTGATGCCTCACTGGCTGAGGATCTAAACCGTTTCTTCGCCCGCTTTGAGACGACCAAGCCCTCAGCTGCCACACCACTTCCACCCGCCCCCAGCACTGGCACACTAACACTTAGGGAGCACCAAGTGAGGTGTGTTCTAAGGTCAGTGAATCCCAGGAAGGCGGCAGGTCCTGATGGAATACATGGAAAGGTTCTCAGAGCATGTGCTGACGAACTGACCGGAGTCTTCACTAAAATCTTCAACCTTTCCTTGTCATCAAACACCGTCCCGCCCTGCCTCAAAACCTCCACCATCATCCCCATCGCCAAGAAGACAGCTGTGGCCAGCCCAAATGACTACAGGCCTGTGGCACTTACGCCTGTAGTGATGAAGTGCTTTGAGAGACTGGTCTGTCAGCACATCAGGGCCGGTCTGCCTCCCACTCTGGACCCCCACCAATTTGCCTACAGGACAAATCGTTCCACCGAGGACGCTATCACCATAGCGCTCCACACTGCGCTGAGTCACCTGGAGCACCGAGGAAGCTATGTGAGAATGCTCTTTCTGGACTTCAGCTCAGCATTCAATCATATCATCCCGGAGATCCTGGTCCAGAAACTGTCTCACCTGGGACTCTCCACCCCCATCTGCCTCTGGATCAAGGACTTCCTGACAAATAGACCACAGTCTGTCAGACTCGGCCCCCACCGGTCCAGCACCATCACACTCAGCACCGGGTCTCCACAAGGATGTGTTTTGAGTCCCCTCCTGTTTACGCTCTACACATCCGACTGCTCCCCTACCCATCTCTCAAACACCATCATAAAGTTCGCGGATGACACCACAGTGGTTGGACTCATCTCAAGGGGGGATGAGTCGGACTACAGAGATGAGGTCAACAGACTGACTGAGTGGTGTTCAGTTAACAACCTCCAACTGAACACCACGAAAACTAAAGAACTTATCTTGGACTTCAGGAAGGGCAGAGCAGACCCGGCCCCACTTTACATTCACGGGAGCTGTGTGGAGAGGGTACACTCCATGAGGTTTCTGGGCGTGCAGATATCTGATGACCTCTCCTGGACTGCAAATACTACAGCGGTGGTTAAAAAGGCCCAGCAGCGTCTCCACTTTCTGAGAGTGCTCAGGAGGAACAACCTGGAGGAAAGGCTGCTGGTGACATTTTACAGAGCCACCATAGAGAGCATCCTAACGTACGGCATAACAACATGGTATGCAGGGTGCTCAGCTGCAGACAGGAAAGTACTGCAGAGGGTCATCAACACAGCCCAGAAGATCACTGGCTGCTCTCTGCCCAGCCTGGAGGTCACTGCAAACTCTCGGTACCTCAGCAGAGCTGGCAATATCATCAAGGACCACTCTCACCCCAGCAACCAACTGTTTGAACTATTACCGTCAGGCCGACGGTACAGGTCACATAAAACCAGGACAAACAGATTCAGGGATAGCTTCTTTCCCAGAGCTATCACCGTAGTAAATAAGCACAAAAACAATTGAACCTATTCCATACCCTCACTGTCATTATATTATGCTGCTATTCATACTGTCATTATATTAATGCTGCTATCCTGTATATATTGTACATACTATTGTTTGAGTACTTACGATTGTTTTTTTTGTACTTTTTATATTTTACATTTATATTTATTATTGAAACTTGCACCAAGGGAGTGGCACTCCAATTTCGTTGTACTCTGTACAATGACAATAAAGGCTATTCTATTCTAAATACAGCTGGATGTTTTAATTCCCTGTTTCCTGCTTTTCTTCTACTAAATAGATGTTCAAATTGAGCACATTCAGAAGAATTTGAATTTAACTTGAAATAAAGTTTGTACTCCCCTGTACAAAGTGATTTATTTTGTTATATATTAATATATGTTGTACAGTTTCCTCCAACAATGTGCTTTTTACAACCTGCACTTTTTCAATGCAAGTTAATCTTCTACTTCAACTTTTTCCAGAGTTTGTCAAAATGTTTGTACGTTGCCACTGCAAAAGTCACCAGATGCAGATGAAGTGGCGATGACTCCATCGCAAAACCTTCAAATGAAGGATTTTGAGTGCAGTAGGCTTTCCTTTTACTTTTGTTCTGCACCTTTTCCCTGGATGTGTTGTTGGGCCCGGGTATAACGGTTATGTCTATACACTAACGCTACTCTGTAAATAAAAGTGATTACAGGATTGTATTGTAGAGCAATACAATACTGTGCACTGAGAAATGATGCTAAAAACATGTACAGCAGGCTATATTGTGCCAGGGATGGATCCTGACCACATCATTGTGCTAACCATCTGAGGCAAAACTAAGTTTTTGGGAATATTTTTCTTTTCTTTTAGATAGTGTGATCATTTAATATGTTCCTTAATTACCAGAGACTTGGAGAGCAATTGAATAAAAGCAAAAAGGGACATATTCTGATTCACTAAGGGGGACAGAGCTGTCAAAGATGATGACATAAACCTCGGGGGTTAAGACTCAGGAGTGAGAACAGGTTGCACTGTACATTAAAATCCGTATATTCAAATATTTGGTAGTGGGCTGGAAGATTGCACCTGCTACTGGCAGAGTTCTTAAAAATAGAGAATACTGTTATGGGCTCAAAATGTGGTCATAAATATTTTGTACTTGTAAATCGGTTTTGTACTTGTAAAAAAGATTTGTGTGTAAAAAAAAAATTTGTGCGTGCGTAAAAAAGATTTGTATGTGTAAAAAAGATTTGTGCGTGCGTAAAAAATATTTGTGTGCAAGTTACAACTAAGAATTTTGACCCTATTTTTCTTCCTTTCATCTGATTGGTCGATGTCATGTCAATCACAAATGTAACAATCCAATCAGAGAACAGATGGGTTTGGCTGTCGGAGGGGCGCTTTTTTGAACTGCAGGTCCTTGAAGGGTAATCTCTATATAAATATCCGATAGCAGCTAGGTCCCCTAACTTTCAGTAGCTGTTGAAAGGATAAAGTTGTGGTATGTCAGTGGTTAGAAATACCATTATTACTTTAGGATTAGTGTAACACAAAGTCAGGGCTGACCCGGGACCATTGCTGTGAGTCACAGTGCGCAGCATAAAAGTCCTTTCACATCGGACGCAGGATGTGCTGCTAATGCTAATTGCTAACTAAAAGCAAAGGATCCAGAATTTGTTGCTGGCTGCTGGGCTCTGTGGGTTTTTGCAGCAGCTCTACCTGTACTAGATGCACCTGCTCCTTGTCGTTTTTATCTCTGACTTTATGTGAACTACAAGAGTTTGTGGGTTCTCTTGCTAGTTCTTCAAATGTTCAATAAAAACATGTATGCTAGTTCATAACGAAGAAAGCTTTGTAATGAAGACTGTCATTTCCAAAACACTGCCCCCCCCCGCGTCCGCAGCGCTGTTGAAAAGGCTGTGGAAGTCCCTGTATTAAACACGTAGTCCTGTGACACAAAAATCACCAAACTCGGACGACCACAGACTGTTTTCCTTCGTGGTGATGAAGGAAAACGCTGGGTTGGCATGTAAAAGGGCATTTATTCCCTTCAAAGACCTGCAGTTCAAAAAAAGCGCCCCTCCCACAGCCAAACCCATCTGTTCTCTGGTTGGATTGTTACATTTGGTCAATGTCATGTCAATCACAATAAGATGAAAGGAAGAAAAATAGGGTCAAAATTCGTAGTTGTAACTTGCAGGGGTTTTTTTGGCTAAGTCCACACACAAATCTTTTTTACACACACACAAATCTTTTTTACACACACACACACACAAATCTTTTTTACACACACACACACAAATCTTTTTTACGCACGCACAAATCTTTTTTACACATACAAATCTTTTTTACACACACACACACAAATCTTTTTTACGCACGCACAAATCTTTTTTACACATACAAATCTTTTTTACAAGTACAAAACCGATTTACAAGTACAAAATATTTATGACCACATTTTGAGCCCATATACTGTCTCCTAACCCTCTTAAGACTTCTGCATCACCAACAACCTCAAACCTGGCTCCAAACCCTAACCTTGACCCTTTTCTGTCATGGGCCGTGGTGCGCGGGCACGAAAAGATCCAGGCGCAGACTCCGCGCTAACAGGAAAAAACACTTTATTGTAACAACGAAAGGCGACCCGGGGAAACTAGGGAGCAAAACAAGAAACTAAAAACCCGGGGAAACAATGACATGAGGAAGCCTGTTCAGAGTCTGTTCAGTGACAGGTTGCTTCTCCCCAAGACAAGAACTAACAGACTTAAAAACTCCTTTGTCCCACACGCCATCAAACTGTTTAACTCCTCTCTGGAGGGGAGAGGGAGGGGAAACAGGAGGACAAAGGAGGGGGGAACAACTAAGCTGTAGTGCCTCTTCACCTCACTGTACAATACCTTGTGCAATACTTTTTGTAAATAGTCAACAGTGCAATAGACTCAATACTTGAAATGTGCAATTCACTTGTATTTTTATTTTTTATTCCTATTTATTCTATTTATCCCCTTTGTATATTTTATTTATATTTGTCTCTGTATTTATATATGTGTGTGTGTGTGTGTGTGTGTATATATATATATATATATATATAACAATTCTGTAACTGTAACTTCGGTCGTTGCTGTGCTTTTTGGAAGTCGAATTTCCCAGAGGAACCCACCCGAGGGATTAATAAAGTTCTATCTTATCTCTTATCTTATCTTATCTTATCTTAAGCCGGGATCGGGACGGTGGGAGGCTGCAATAGAAAGGGGAGATGATTACTAGGGAGCCGGGAAGTGGGGAAAACACATCTGGACTGAGTTAGAGTAGGAGGCTTACGATAGAACGGGACCGTGGGAGCTCGGGAGGGAAGTGTGGCAGTCCGTGGGGGCAGGAAGTCCGTGGGAATGGCGAATGGGCCAGGTGAGCACCGCGAGATCCAGTTGAGCCGGAGGACAGGCAGGTAGCAGACGCCGAGTAGAAACCTGGACAAAAGTAGGCAGGTTAAACACAGTTCCAATCCAGAAGAGAATGCACGCTTTTCGTGGAAGTCTGGTTACCACTGTGGGGGTGACTAACGGACTGGCGTGGAGCATCCGTCAGCGCCGGGTTAAGCAGATCTCCGTGTAGTCACCGTGATGGAGAGCAGGTGTGCTGGTGATGGCCCAGCCCGGGGGTGTGGCTACCCGAGCATCACGCATTCCACAGACACAGGACCACGGACCATGACATTTTCTAGGAAAATGTAAATAGTTTTTGAAATGTTTCAGTTATATATTCACACACGGTTAACGTAATCACAGATGACAACTTCCTTTACATTATCCCTTACATTATATATGCCTTACAGGGATATATAATGGACAAGCACAGTATTTTACTTGGTGCATTCATACATTTTTTCACATTTTCTTGACTGGGCTAGGCGGCCGTCTGACCTGCACTGTGTACAGACGCACGTTCTCTTAGTACCTACGAAGATTTCTCTGAGATAGCAATACTCTTATGAGCGAAGGCTCAGTACTGGTTGTATTTGAACCCACCACACACATCTCTTAGCTTTTTGCAGTAATGAGCAAAAACACATATACACATATGCTATATGTGGAAATCTTAGATAGTAAAGAAATGGTGGCGACCCTACGATACCAGTCTGTGCAACACACAGACCACAGGAAAGGAGGAGGATCAAAAAAACAAGACCAACAAAGTAAAAACTAACTGCTAGGGCAGGATTTGGCTGTGTAACCTACTGAGAGAGGGAGTATATTGATCAGCTGCTTTCCCGCTGCTTTCTGCCTCATTATCAGACAACACACATGACTTTATTTGGTCAAGCTGCACATGAAGATCAGAGCTGTACAACATGCCCTGCAGCCTGTGCCATGTAGACGGTGTACCAAGGAGGATTAACACTTAGTTACTTGTATTGATGCTATCCTCTTTACATCGATCATTCTCTTTGCCTGGATGGAGGTATGTGTTTACTGCCAATTTTTAGTTAACAAGGTCATGCAAAAGCCCCCTAACACAAAAAGAACAAAGGAAAAAATCTCACCCAGTGCACTCATTCTAAATAGTTTGCATTCAAAATGACTGACTACCGAGTGTAGTGTGCATGGCTTTATTACACCTTGAAAGTTTTTGTGAAATCTCTCTCTGCTTGTCTTCTCCTAGAGTCAACTACTCAGCATCATGAACAAGATGAAGAACTTTAAGAGACGTTTCTCTTTGTCGGTTCCTCGGACTGAGACGATTGAAGAAAATGAGTTCACTGAGCAGATCAACCAGCTCAACATACGGCACACTCAGGGTAAGAACACCTTTCCCCCTCAAATCACCAGCATTGTCTGAGATTACTACAATTATCTGTTCAATTTTGAAATTTCACAGATTATGAAAACCATTGCGGTTGCAAACATTTTAACAGCAAATAACTCTTCAAAACTCACTACGATGGTCGATTTGTCGTAACATCCACTGCTAAGCCACATAGTGTCATATGATGTGGAATTGAGCACCCAAAGGACGAGTTGTGGGACAGAGTTCATAAAGAAAAAGACAAACATTTATTCAGGTGTACCAGAGAAGTCCAAATGGCAACTGATAAGCAAAGTCCGTAAGTCCAAACCAAGAGAGGAAGGACTGATAATCAACAGAGAACTGAGGGGAGACCGAGGGTATAAATATACAGTAGGCAATCAGGGAGAGTGACGAAACACAGATGCAAATAACCAATAATTAAGAAAAAGACAAGGGAAGTAAACTTAAATATACAAACATCATTTAGTTGCTTCACTAAACAACTTTCTATGCATTGTTTTGATTTAACAGCCAATTCAAAGATGTCCACTCTCGTCAACAACCTTTGGCACCAAAACAACAAACAAAAATCCACACGTCAACAACTAGGTGCTGAATGCAGTGGAGCATTTAGCATCTGCAGCTAGAGAGAAGACCAGAGCAGAGTTGGTGGAATTGATCACTTTACTGTTAGAACAGGTAGCTGGTGGAACATTTAGGAGCTTGAAAAGCCAGATATTTCTGCCGTTCTAGATTTAAAGAAAAAATAGTGCATATCTGACTTAAGGTTGTAAGGTGAGCACGAGCTTTAAATGGAAGATGTTGTTCTTTAACTGTTGAATGTTTGATTTCTCAGAGTATTCAGAGGCCGAACGAGCTTTTAAAAACAATAAAGCACTGGGTAATTAAAAGCATTCAAATCCATTCACATTCCCAACCCATGAGCTCTTCTACCTCTTTGCATCTTTGGTCTCCATGTGAGCATGAATGGCTTGTGTCTAATAATAGAGCACAAACTGCAACACCGCTCTGGGTTTTAATACAAAAGCCTTCCTTCCTTCCGTGTCTGTAGCAGACCCTCACAGATTAACTGGGGGTTTTCCGGCTATGACTGGTACCACCACCAAGTTGGAGCCAGAGGATCAGCAGGCTTCAAAGGGGAATAAGGGTTATAGTGGGATAAATTGGGGTAGATAATACCAGGAAGCTGAATACACTCACAAGTAGATCCTTGAGTGCCTGTGCTTGATTATGTAAACCACGTCTGATACTGAGAGATGGAATAACAGTGCAGAGTCTATAAAATGCATCTGATTTAAACTTTCATCACAATTTCCAACCATTTGTTCCCGGGTTCAATTCAATTTTATTTGCACAGCACCTACTGCTACGGTGCTATTTTGACGATTCAGTATTATTATGACGTGTTATTATAAGATACCTTAGGCGTCCGTGTGTACTACCACATAAGTAATCAAAATGAGGCATCTAAAGTGCTTGCTTCCTATGAAAATATTACATTTGAATGAGGATGTTATTCAGCTGTCTAACGGAGTAGCAGCTGGCTATGTAGTCTTACCCCCCCAGAGTCCATCAGTCTGCATTACTGTCTGCTACTGAAGGTCAGGAGAGAGGTAAGCAGACAAACCCAGCTACCTCCTGATATTTACAGTCCACTCGTAGCTCTTACTGATCATTTCTCTTTTTTGTTTTGCTCTGTTCCATCTGAAGCATGTAGGATTTTATCATGTCCCATAGTGTAGCAGACTTGAATAAAAAACATCTCGGATATAAGCATCACATGGAAAAATCATGTGATGCCTTAACATTTTATTGTTGCTGTATGCCAACTTCATAATTTGTGTGGTGATGGAAAAAGTTTGGTCGGCATCAGCAAACATGGTTTTTGGGGTTTTTTAAATTCAACCCAGAATTGTTTCTCGTGCAGCAAAATAAGTAGACTACCATACTACGTCAAAGGTTTGGACACACCTTCACATTTTTCTTCTGTTTCTTCTTTATTTTCATTACTATTTACATTGTAGATTCTCACTGAAGTGAAACTATGAATGAAAAGATACAGAATTATGTAGTAAACAAAGTGTGAAATAACTCAAAACATGTTTTAGATTTTAGATTCTTTAAAACAGCCACCCTTAGCTTTGATTCCTGCTTTGGACACTCTCGGCATTGTCTCGATGAACTTCATGAGGTCGTCACCTGAAATGGTTTCTAACAGTCTTGAAGGAGTTCCCAGAGATGCTGAGCACTTGTTGGTCCTTTAGCCTTCACTCTGTGGTCCATCTCATCCCAAACCATCTTGATTGGAGGTCAGCCTCCATATGTCAGGTGACTGTGGAGGACAGGCCATCTGGTGCAGCACTCCATCGCTCTCCTTCTTAGTCTTCCATTCAGTGTGCCTTCAGTTTTGAATAAATCCCCAACAGTGTCAGCAGCAAAGCACTCCACACCATCACACCTCCTCCACCATGCTTCTGGGATCCATGCATGTGGAGACCATCCGTTCACCTATTCTGCGTCGCACAAAGACACAGTGGGTGGAAACAAAGATCTCAACTTTGGACTCATTCAATTCAATTCAATTCAATTTTATTTATATAGCGCCAAATCACAACATAAGTCGCCTCAAGGCGCTTCATAGATACAGAGAAAAACCCAACAATCATATGACCCCCTATGAGCAAGCACTTTGACAAGAGTGGGAAGGAAAAACTCCCTTTTAACAGGAAGAAACCTCCAGCAGAACCAGGCTCAGGGAGGGGCAGCCATCTGCTACGACCGGTTGGGGTGAGAGAAGGAAGACAGGATAAAAGACATGCTGTGGAAGAGAGACAGAGGTTAATAACAGATATGATTCAATGCAGAGAGGTCTGTTAATACATAGTGAGTGAGAAAGGTGACTGGAAAGGAAAAACTCAATGCATCATGGGAATCCCCCGGCAGCCTATGTCTATTGCAGCATAACTAAGGGAGGATTCAGGGTCACCTGGTCCAGCCCTAACTATATGCTTTAGCAAAAAGGAAAGTTTTAAGCCTAATCTTGAAAGTAGAGATAGTGTCTGTCTCCAGAATCCAAACTGGAAGCTGGTTCCACAGAAGAGGGGCCTGAAAACTGAAGGCTCTGCCTCCCATTCTACTTTTAAATACTCTAGGAACAACAAGTAGGCCTGCAGAGCGAGAGCGAAGTGCTCTAATAGGGTGATATGGTACTACAAGCTCATTAAGATAAGATGGGACCTGATTATTTAAGACCTTGTATGTGAGGAGCAGGATTTTGAATTCAATTCTGGACTTAACAGGAAGCCAATGAAGGGAAGCCAAAACAGGAGAAATACGCTCTCTCTTTCTAGTCCCTGTCAGGACTCTTGCTGCAGCATTTTGGATTAGCTGAAGGCTTTTCAGTGAGTTTTTTGGACATCCTGATAATAATGAATTACAGTCGTCCAGCCTGGAAGTAATAAATGCATGAACTAGTTTTTCAGCGTCACTCTGAGACAGGATATTTCTAACTTTAGAGATGTTGCGCAAATGGAAGAACGCAGTCTTACATATTTGTTTAATATGTGCATTGAAGGACATGTCCTGGTCAAAAATGACTCCAAGGTTCCTCACAGTGTTACTGGAGGCCAAGGTAATGCCATCCAGAGTAAGAATCTGGTTAGATACCATATTTCTAAGCTTTCCAGGGCCGAGTACAATAACCTCAGTTTTATCTGAATTAAGAAGCAGAAAGTTAGCGGCCATCCAGGTCTTTATGTCTTTAAGACATTCCTGCAGTTTAACTAATTGGTGTGTGTTATCTGGCTTCATGGACAGATAGAGCTGGGTGTCATCTGCATAGCAGTGAAAATGTATGCTATGTCTTCTAATGATGCTGCCTAAGGGAAGCATGTATATTGTAAACAGAATTGGTCCTAGCACTGAACCCTGTGGAACTCCATAATTAACCTCAGTGTGTGAAGAAGACTCTCCATTTACATGAACAAATTGGAGTCTATTAGATAGATATGATACAAACCACTGCAGTGCAGTACCTGTAACACCTACAGGATATTATGGTCGACAGTATCGAATGCTGCATTAAGGTCTAGCAGGACAAGCACAGAGATGAGTCCACTGTCAGAGGCCATAAGAAGATCATTTGTAACCTTCACTAAAGCTGTTTCTGTGCTGTGATGAGCTCTGAAACCTGACTGAAACTCTTCAAATAAACCATTCCTCTGCAGATGATCTGTTAGCTGTTTGACAACTACTCTTTCAAGGATTTTTGATATGAAAGGAAGGTTGGAGATTGGCCTATAATTAGCTAAGACTGCTGGGTCTAGAGATGCTTTTTGAGTAAAGGTTTAACTACAGCTAGCTTGAAGGCCTGTGGTACATAGCCGATCATTAGAGATAGGTTGATCATATTTAAGATCGAAGAATTAATTAATGGCAGGACTTCTTTGAGCAGTTTTGTAGGAATGGGGTCTAAAAGACACGTTGATGGCTTGGAGGAAGTAATTATTGAAGTTAACTCAGAAAGATCAATTAGAGAAAAAGAGTCTAACATCAATGGTACTAAGAGTAGCTGTAGATAATATTACATCTGTGGGATGATTACTGGTAATTTTTTCTCTAATGATAAAAATTTTATTTGTGAAGGAAGAAGTTCATGAAGTCATTACTAGTTAACGTTAAAGGGATTGTTGGCTCAACAGAGCTCTGACTTTTTGTCAGCCTGGCTACAGAGCTGAAGAGAAACCTGGGGTTGTTCTTATTTTCTTCAATCAGTGATGAATAGTAAGATGTTCTTGCTTTGTGGAGGGCTTTCTTATAAAGCAGCAAACTATTTCTCCAGGCTAAATGATGATCCTCTAAATTTGTGACACGCCATTTCCTCTCCAGATTACGAGTCATCTGCTTTAGGGTACGCGTTTGAGAATTATACCACGGAGTCAGGTATTTCTGATTAGAGACCTTAGTTTTCACAGGAGCTACAGTATCCAGAGTCGTACGTAGTGAGGAGGTGAAATTATTAACAAGATGATCGACCTCTGTTGGGGTAGCGTTCAGATAGCTGCTCTGCTCTATGTTGGTACGGGGCATTGAAGATGATAACAGTGGGTGGATTATATTCTTAAACTTAGTTACAGCGCTTTCAGAAAGACATCTACTGTGATAAAGTCTACTCTCCACCGCTGTGTAATCAATTATTGTAAATGTTATCAGGAAATGATCAGACAGGAGAGGGTTTTCAGGAAACACTGTTAAATGTTCAGTTTCTACGCCATATGTTAAAACAAGATCTAGAGTGTGATTAAAGTGGTGGGTGGGTTCTTTTACATTTTGAGAGAAACCAATTGAGTCTAATAACAGATTAAATGCCATGTTGAGGCTGTCATTTTTAGCATCTACATGGATGTTAAAATCACCCACAATAATTATTTTATCTGAGCTCAGAACTAAATTAGATATAAAGTCTGAGAAATCAGAGAGAAACTCTGTGTAAGGCCCGGGTGGACGATAGATGATAACAAGTAAGACTGGTTTCTGAGTTTTACAGCTGGGGTGGACAATGTTAAGCATCAGGCTTTCAAATGAATTAAAAGTCTGTCTTGGTCTTTCATTAATTAATAGGCTGGTGTGAAAAATTGCTGCCACACCGCCCCCTCGGCCTGTGCTTCGAGATGTCTGGCAGTTAGAATGACTCGGGGGTGTTGATTCATTTAAACTAACATAATAATCCTGCTGCAACCAGGTTTCTGTAAGGCAGAGTAAATCGATTTGTTGATCAATTATTAAGTCATGTACTAACAGAGACTTGGAGGAGAGAGACCTAATATTTAATAATCCACATTTCACTGTTTTACTCTTTGGTTCAGATGTGGATACTTTATTGTTCTTTCTTTGTAATTGTTTATGTTTAAGTTGTTTGTTGCTGGTTTTTAGTTTGTTTTTTGTCTGTTTGGGAGTTGACACAGTCTCTATGGAGATGGGTTTTTGGGGGGTAGCAGGAGGAGAGAAGCTGCAGAGAGGCGTGTAAGACTGCAACTCTGCTTCCTGGTCCCAACTCTGGATAGTCATATTTTGGGGGGTTTAATAAATTTGTCCATATTTCTAGAAATGAGAGCTGCTCCATCCAAAGTGGGATGGATGCCGTCTCTCCTAACAAGACCAGGTTTCCTCCAGAAGGTTTGCCAATTATCTATGAATTCCACATCGTTTCTGGGACACCACTCAGACAGCCAGCAATTTAAGGAGAACATGCGGCTAAACATGTCACTCCTGGTCTGATTGGGGAGGGGACCAGAGAAAACTACAGAGTCCGACATTGTTTTGGCAAAGCTGCACACCGATTCAATATTGATTTTAGTGACCTCCGATCGGCGTAACCAGGTGTCATTACTGCCGACGTGAATTATGATCTTACTGAATTTACCCTTAGCCAGCAGTTTTAAATTTCCTTCAATGTCGCCTGCTCTGACCCCTGGAAGACAATTGACTATGGTTGCCGGTGTCTCTAGCTTCACATGTCTGAGAACAGAATCACCAATTACCAGAGTTTGACCCCCGGCGGGTGTGTCACCGAGTGGGGAAAAACGGTTAGACACATGAACGGGTTGGTGGTGTACCTGGGGCTTCTGTTTAGGACTATGCTTCCTCCTCACCGTGACCCAGCCGCCCTCTTTCCCCAGCTGCTTGGGGTCTGCCGGGGAACAGCTAGCGGGGCCTACGCTATCTTCGGCTGCACCAGCTACGGGGGGCTGGCTAGCTACGGGTGAATGAAGGGTGCGAAGCCGAGTCTCCAATTCAGTAATCCTGGCCTCCAGCGCTGCAAATATGCTACATTTGTTACAGATATCATTACTGCTAAAGGAGGCCGAGGAGTAACTAAACATCTGACACAATGAGCAAGAAAGTGCAGGATGGACAGGTGAAGTAGCCATGGTGCTAACGAGTCGGCTACGAGCTAAGCTAAGCTAGCGAAACAGTACAGAGACAGTGAGTGAATACTTTGGCTATAACTTACTGTAGGTAGTGAGTACACAGAAAGTGTGCTTCGGATGAAGCACGTGAAGATTATACTATGAAAAAGAATGTATTTAAAAGTTGTTAATTAAATTGCTAAGCAAATAAGCTACTCAGAAACACCACTGTGTTTGAGCAGGAACAGGAAGTGATACTCTACCTCAGAGCGAGCAAACACCAAGTGACAGCGCCACACACATGCATTCTTCAGACCAAAGCACAGATTTCCACTGGTCTAATGCCCACTCCTTGTGTTTCTTGGCCCAAACAAATCTCTTCTCCTTGTTGCTTTTCCTTAGTAGTGGTTTCTTAGCAGCTATTTGACTATAAAGGCCTGATTCACAGTCTCCTTTTGAACAGTTGATGTAGAGATGTGTCTGCTACTGGAACTCGGTGTGGCATTTTTCTGGGCTCTAACCTGAGCTGCTGTTAACTTGTGTTAACTTTTTGAGGCTGGTGACTTGGATGAATTTATCCTCAGCAGCAGAGCTGACTCTTGGTCTTCCTTTCCTGGGGCGGTCCTCATGTGACCCCGTTTCCTCGTAGCACTTGGGGACGCATTCAAAGTTTTAGAAAATTTCCAGACTGACCTGGCAGTAATGACGGACTGTCATTTCTCTTTATTCATTTCTCTGATTGGTTCTTTCCATAATATAAATTGTAACAGTTGACAATGCACACCTGTGAAGGGAGAACCATTTCAGGTGACTACATCATGAAGCTCATCGAGAGAAGGCCAGCGGTTTGGAGCACTGTCAACGAAGCAAAGGGTGGCTACTTTCAGGAATCTAAAATATAATACATATTTAGAGTTATTGATCATTTTTTTCTTTGCCACATATATCTTGCTTCATATATTTGATGACTGTATCTATAAAGAAAACCCATTAAATGAAAAGGTGTGTCCAAACTTTTGACTGGCAGTGTATAAGTGGTCAAATAATTCATGCAAACATGAGCTGGCGTGTCTATTTTTAAAATACAATCAATTACATGAATAACTGAATGATTTTACAGACGTGTGGCAACAGGACTGAAAACACCTGATGAAAAATTACTTATACATATAGACCTATACTACAGCGCTGTAATAGTGAAACACAATAGTGCAGGGCAGTGTAGTATATGTTGCATAATATATGTTGTTTTGGTAAATTGTCTCTATCATTGTAGTAATACGATGGTACTTTGTCATAAAGATGTCAATAAAGGCTCAACTTATAAGATCCCACTATCCATACTATAATAGTTTTAATGTAGTGTATCCTGTCAAATCATTGGTTTCTATTACATGTTTTTTTTTTTAAAAAAAACATTGCAGCATCAAACAGAGACGATTACAATCCCTGATCACGGAGTACAATCAGCTCATCAGCGTAACCTATAGATTCATGCACACATGAACAAAAACACACACTTTCAGTGCTGTTTTCTGTCATTATAAAATTATTATATTACATTGCAGGAATATTTTTTTGTTTGCATGAAACTACGTGAGAGTGATTTTGTTTTAATGGATAATTTAAAGCCGCTTTGCTGAATATGCTTTTGTATAAGTGTGATATTTAAATGTCAAGTGTTTTCCCTTAAGGAGCTATACCAGATCAGAAATTCATCTCAGTCAATTGTCTGTGCAGACGACGTGCAACACTGATGAAAAGCAAATAATCTAACATGTCCAAGTCAGTACTGAAGGTATTTCTTTCCCCGCTCATTTGTTCCTATTTCAGCCTCTCACTATGAGCACAGTTTGAGATGGAAATGCTACAAAAACATCATGCTGCGTACCATATTGGATTGTCCTTTTTCTAACAAGATTTCTAGCAGGCATCCATCCATATTTCACAGCAATGTGACACTTTGTTAGCGCGTGTTCATATCAGTGTCACCTTCACCGACCCTAATTAGCATCAAGAGATCAAAGGAGTGCTGTAGCTGTGATATTCAAATGACCAGCAAACAGGTTGTCATTTCATCCCCCCGGCCCATTTAGACAGTCACTGAATACAACGCATAGCATGGCTTGTTAAAAGCCTCTCTGCGGTGCTGTTAAAACGTTGCATCAAACCCAACCAGGCATGCTCAAATCTGAGCACCTGCCTCTAGTTTTGCGTTATCTTTTTATATGTGTATGCATATATGAATGAGCTGGGTGTGTGTAGGCAGGTTGAGAAAGGCCATAGTTACACAGTAAATGTTTAGCATGTATGCATATAAATGTGAGTGTGTGCTGTGCGGAAGCTAGGAAGAAACCTACTGTCTGAGACCTCCTCCTTAACACGAGACCTGCTTCCCTTGTTAAGCAGTATCTCCATGGAAACAGGGGCGCTTTGTATTTTAATGCACATACACATGCCTGGAGGCTGCAGATGAGATGAAGCTTATGGACAGTGAGGAGCTACTACCCCTGTGCTGGCACAGCTGTCAGTCAAATCAGGTCAACATTCAAACTTTAAGTCTCATCAAAATGGTTGTAAAAAATAAAGTCACACACACAAATGGAAGACGAAATATCCATAAAATCGAATACTCTTTTGTTCCATCCTGTAAACATGCCGTTTAGTTGGGCATTTAAAAAAAACGTCCTTATTTCATTTAAAGTTTAAATGCTTATGCATTTAAAGTACATAAGCAGAGTTTTAAACATAAAAGGAGAAGGCAGTTTTCTTGGGAAAAACACAGATTTGTGCACACATGGATATCAGGGTCAGATGTACAGCTTTGAAGTCGGACTTAATTACATGGGTTGGGGATGGATGTTTTCCCTTGATATTGAAAGTCAGCTGTAGTTGTGTGATTAAAGGACCACGACTGCAGAGAAACCCAAACTGAATTACTGCTTAAACTCAATGAATGCCGACGCTTTACAGGAGCTAAGGTGCCAGTCGCTGACTGTTCTGTCAACGTATCCCACTGAGATCTTAAGCTGTTCTCAGAGTTTTCGGTGGCCCACCACCGTTGATTATATTTCCCCTCTGTCAGGCCTGACTCCAGACAGACTGGGTCCTCCATCTCATGATGTCAGCCCAGTGAGCCCTGAACCAACCACTCCAGGAGCTCAGTCTCCATCCCACCTCCACTACCACAGCAAGGCCCAGCACAGACGCTTCTCCATGGAGGTAAGTAAAAACTCAAATTGCAGTATTACAGTACAGTAAATAAACCAGTGCAGTGGAATTATAAGACGTGTGTGTGTGTGTGTGTGTGTGTGTGTGTGTGTGTGTGTGTGTGTGTGTGTGTGCACGCGCCACATCAATCTCCTGCATGTTTGTATTATCTGTTGTTTTCTCCTTACTACACTGATACAAATCATTGTACCATTTGCCTATATGTGTCACAGCATGCAAAAACCATGCTACAGTCCAAAATTGAATTTTTAATTTTTTTAATGAATCATAAAACTTCAAAGCCTGTGGATTAACATGCAAAAACAGATTGGTTTAATTTTCTATGAATTTGTTGCTTAAACGTGTTACACTGTGTCTGTTCTGTGAATTATTGTGGTTTAGCAATGATGCATAAATAGTAATCTATAAATCATCACTTACAGCATGTTTGTAAATGATTAAACGTCCAATAAAAACTCGACCAGGGTTACAAGAAACTGTTAATCAATCATAAACCACACAGTGTTTGGACATTAGCTGGAAAAATGTGCTGCCACGTGACTGTAGAGTGGACAACCAGATGATCTGGCAGAGACAATATATACATTGAGTCACAGAAGACAGGAAGAAGAGGAAGTCATAGAAAAGGAGATGAGAGCAGGGCAGACAATCACAACAGAAGGAGACAAAAACAGAAAGTAAAATTATCAAAGGTCCAAAACACAGCAACATGAAGATGAGATGTGAAGACTGACACTAAAAAAGATGTCAGACAAAGAGACAGAAAGGACGAAGGCACTGAAGGAGAGACAAGACGGAAGGAGATGAAAGGGAAGCACTAATAACAATGCAGTCAAAGCAGGGACCATGGAGTGAATCACATTAATTCCATCAGGAAGTTTTACTGAAAGGTGAAACTATAAAGATTAAAACTGATAACTTCGTCATCAGAAGGACCCAGCAGAGGTAGTTTGGGTATCTGACAACAACCAGGAGGAAGCCCCAGGGAAGACCCATTACAAGCTGGAGAGATCGTATCTGTCGACACTATGAGCTGGTTAAGGTGGCCGGGATGTTGGAAGTCTGGGCTTCTCTGCTCAGACTGTTGCCTCCACGAACTTAACCCAGACAAGGGACGAATGGAAACTGATCGCTAGAATAACAAAGAAACTCATGTGAACTGAAATCCATCATGTCTAGAAAAAGAAATCTGGATGATAACAGAATGGCAAATGTTCCTTCTTATGTGCAGAGGTAATGAATTGTTCTGAAGGATTTTACAGCTTCTTTTAAAACCTTCATCTGTCATTTGAGAACTGAACAAAAGAAACTGAGAAAACTCTTAATACTTAGAGTATTTGAGGATATCTAAGTGTTGTAGAGCAGCGGTCTCCAACCTTTTTTGCGCCACGGACCAGTTTATGCGGACATTATTTTCACGGGCCGGCCTTTAAGGTGTCGCGGATAAATACAACAAAATAAAACTAGTACTGGTACCGAAAAAAATAAGATTTATTCATAACACACGTGAAAAACCCGGGAAAACCGAGGTAACGATAAAAACGATAACAAAATAACGCTGAAAACCAATTAAAAGCCCTGAAAACCATACATTTCACACCTGAGCCTCAACTCTCGTGGCCCGGTACCAAACGACTCACGGACCAGTACCGGTCCGAGGCCCAGGGGTTGGGGACCGCTGTTGTAGAGTATTCAGTGTCACTGAAATACCTGGTTTAAAGAATCTCAAAGGAAGACGACATTTTGATGGCAGTGAATTATTCATGCAACGATTTGATTTTGATGTAAAATCAATACTTTGCTGTGTGTATGAGTTCTTTCGTGAAAAGCATTTTCAGAGGTGAGGCGCTAAAACATGTCGTGTCACAGCACTACAGAAAAACTGTAATATAATAGATGGTAGGGTTTGGATTCCTGTAATGCCTTCCATCTCACACGCTGCTTTCACACTAATTTGTGTTTTGCCAACTGACTGAAAGGAAACTGTCTAGGTTGGAGTGCATATTAAAAACATGAAACATCAGCCAGACGCAGATATCACCAGTTACACGAGGAGATGTCCTCCTCCCCACGAGTTATTTCTCCATTTCCACCTCCGTGGGCTCAGTGAGATGAGTCAGAAGCTTTTAACCCTGCGCGCTGCAGCAGACATTTTTATTGAAAATGTGAGAGTTCACAGTTCTACCTTTGCAGAAAAAGTCCCCGTGGAGCAAAAGTCGTTCACGCCACACAGCACAGACAGTCGAGCGAAGCCACGAGAGAAATGAGTGCTCAGTGAGAAGACAGAAATAGGTTGCAGCCTGCGAGCTTACACAGACTTGGACAGCTTTTGTGTGCAGCTCTTTCTAATAAAAGGCTTTAAATACTGTAACTAATTAATGTGCTTTAATAAGAGATCGTTTCATGGATTCGGCACTCCTCTGCTCACCTTCAGTCTGAGCAGAGTTGCAGTAAATCCAAATAGCCCCTGTGTGGGTGCTGTCTTATCAAGTAACACTTTTTGACCACACACTCTTTAATTACACGTCATGTTGCAGTTACTAAAAACGACTGAGTTAATTGCTCAAGGGCAGTCATTAATGACTGTTTAATAGCAGCGCAGTTACTTCACTTTATGCTTTCATTAAAGTGTCATTTCTTTCATTTTAACATGCAAAAGAGCAAAATGGAATTTAACCTATAATAAATGCACACTGCCTTATTTAAGTGTGTATGTAGGACATATTAAATCTGATATGTATTTTAACCCCCCGCTCCCCAACGTCTCACTTAAGCTCCTCCCTGAGCCTGGAGGGAGGAGCTTATACGGGGGTTGTTTGATTGTTAGGGTTTCTTTCTAATGTTTAGGTTTTTACCGTACAGTAAAGTGCTTTAAGATGACTGTTGTGAATTGGTGCTTTATACAACACTGACTTGAATTGAATTGAAATCATCCTGTAGTAACTATATAACTATTTCAAATTCAAATTCAAATTTTATTTGTCACACACACACACAACCATACACAGTATGACATGGGGGTGAAATGCATGTAGCTGTACAATGCCCGACCATTACATGACAGAAGAAAAGTTTTACAATATTTACAATTTACAGTTTACTACAAAATTTACAAATTAACTTAGGAATTTACAGTAAAGAATGTGCAAATAGCAGAAAAGATTATAAAGATAAGGATTATAAATTATAGGAATTATAGGATTATAGGAAATGTGTGGTGGTGCGTGTGGTGATGTGTGTGAGAGTCCAGTCTTATAGTGACGTGTTTGGGAGAGTCTAGTCCTACACCTGGTTCAGGGCCCGAATAGCCTGGGTGAAGAAGCTCCTCCTCATTCTTTCTGTTTTGGCCTTAAGGGAGCGGAAGCGCTTCCCAGACCTCAACAGTGAGAAGAGTCCATTGTTGGGATGGGAGAGGTCCATCATAATCTTCCTAGCTTTGGACTTGCACCGCTTGGTGTAGATGGACAGCATGTCAGGGAGCTCTGATTGAATGATGCGTTCGGCTGAGCGCACCACTCTTTGCAGATCTCGTATGTCCTGCTTGGTGCTGTTTCCAAACCAGGTGCAGATGTTTGCCGTCAGGATGCTCTCGATGGTGCAGGAGTAAAAGTTCTTGAGCACCTTCAGTGGCAGATGGAAGTCTCTAAGTCTTCTGAGGAAGAAGAGACGCTGACGGGCTTTCTTAACCAGGGAGTTGATGTGGCAGGACCATGACAGGTCCTGAGTGATGTGGACACCCAGGTATCGGAAACTGTCCACTCTCTCAACTGGCGTGCCACTGATGATGAGGGGTTTGTAATTCCTCGCCTGCTTTGTAGTGAGGTCCACGATCAGCTCCTTAGTCTTGCTGATGTTTAGGAGGAGGTTATTCTCCTGGCACCAGGTCTCCAGGTTCCTAATCTCCTCCAGGTTGGCCGTCTCGATGTTGTCGGAGATCAGGCCCACAACAGCAGTGTCGTCAGCAAACTTGACAATGGAGGTGGTGTCTGATGTGGCTACACAGTCATAAGTGTACAGTGAGTACAGCAGGGGGCTTAAAACACAGCCCTGAGGCACTCCAGTGCTGAGTGAGATGGAGGGGGAGACTTGTTTTCCCACCCTCACTGATTGGGGTCTGTCTGTGAGGAAGTTGAGGATCCACTGACACAGTGATGAGCTGAGTCCTAGATCCGTCAACTTGGTGAAAAGCTTAGATTGAATTATTGTGTTGAATGCTGAACTGTAGTCCACGAACAGCATCCTAACATAATTCCCTCTGCCAGTGTCCAGGTGACTCAGGGATGTGTGGAGCAGGTGAGATATGGCATCGTCTGTGGAACGATTAGTCCGGTAAGCAAACTGAAGTGAGTCGATGGTGGCAGGAAGTGAAGAAGTGATGTGATCTCTCATCAGTCTTTCAAAACACTTCATCACAATTGAAGTCAGTGCTACTGGACGGTAGTCATTGTGGCAAGCGGGCTGTTGTTTCTTTGGAACAATAATGGACTGTTTGAAGCACGTGGGAACCACAGCTTGGGCCAGGGAGAGGTTGAAGATCTCTGTGAACACCGCTGCTAGCTGGTCAGCGCAGGCTCTAAGGACCCGGCCAGGGATTGCATCTTGTCCTGCTGCCTTCCTGGTGTTCACCCTCCTGAAGGTGTTCCTCACGGCATGCTCTGTGATGATGAATGCATTGTCTTCACTGGTGCACTCCGAGCGCGCGCAGCCTTTTGTTGTTTTAATTGCTGCGGCGTCGAAGCGAGCATAAAACGTGTTCAGCTCATCAGCCAGTGAAGCATCGGCATTCATCATTGAAGAAGCTGGTCGTTTGTGGATGATCTGATATCCTCGTGTTGGTGTTGTTCCCAGACCATCATGAAAATGTTGTTCCAGGTTCAACATTGCAAGTGACCAATCACATTGTTGTGACATTATTCCTTTGCGCGCCAAGCCATTCGTGCATTTATGAAATTCCAATGTTGCAAGGACAATATCAATTCTGCTTACTGTTTATTAAAGGGTTATGGTTAGGGTAAGGGTCAGGGTCCGTTGATCGGCGGACAGAGGCGGTTTCGCGCAGCTTTAGTACAGTTTTTTGTTTTACGCCAGTTTTTCCCGAAGTCGCAAAAGTATGACGTCACAACATTCTGATTGGTCACTTGCAATGTTGATCCTGGAACAACATTTAGTATGATGATCTGGGAACAACACCAACACGAGGATATCAGATCAACCGGTCGTTTATAGTCCGTTTATAGTCCGACTAGAGTCACACTGTCGTAGCTGTGACTCTAGTTTTTCCCCATAGCTCCGCTTTGCCTATTTGTGGGGAGATTTCCATCTTTTACTAGATCTTTGAGGTTTTGGCTGCAAGTAATTAATTTCTGTTTAATATGAATTTCTATGAATGTAGACAACTACATGCCAAGTAACTAGACTCAATCCCTGTATTATCACAAACACATTGCCAGTTTGATCCCATTCTGTCACAGAATGATAGCAGACTGATTGTCTTATTGCTGCTTCATCACAGTCCTGATGCTCTAAAGACACTCGGAAGGTGGCAACTGACTGGAGAGTCATCGCAGATCTGGTCCCCATCTTTGAAGCAGCCATTTGAAAGGCAACAAGACTGCATGTTCTTTGCACACGGTCAAAATAATTGTGGTAGTGCCGCAGTTTCCAACCACTATTTTTACCCAGTCTGACTTTGGCATGATTTAATAAGGTTGTGTGATGTCGGTTGTGTAGCATTGTGTGGACTTTGTATTTTGAAGGCAGACATGACTAACAAGTGAATTGGACTGAGTGAAAATAAACAGACAAAAAGTGTTAAGCAATGACGTAATTTAAAAATAATAATAGTTATAAATGGTAAAAGAATTAACAGTATTAATGACAATGGCTCAAAAAGTACAGATTCTCCGCAGCCTTCGGGAACAGTAAAGCCATTATTGTGGATTACAGATGACAGCTGAGGTGTGTGGAGACCAAGAGAAGGCCTAAAGGATATTCACTCCAAGAAATATCCAGCCTACTTATTGAGGTCAGGTCAGTTCTCTTGTTAGATGGACCCGTGTGTTGAGGATGAGACTGCTGGTGGAGCACCAAGCTGACAGGGTTAGCAGTTCCTCCCTGTATGCAGTCTCCTCATTGCTGGCGATTAAACCGATGACTGTTGTGTCAACTGCAAATTGTATGATGGTGTTGTTGCATGAACGGTTTTTGTGCCAGGATCAGTCCCTCGAAGCACTTGGAAATGAGAACGTACAGTTTTTATGAATCACTTTTATTCTTGCAGGACGTTAGTAAGCGCATGTCCCTGCCAATGGACATCCGCCTGCCTCCAGAGTTTCTGAAGAAGTTGCAGATGGAGAATGAAAACTCACCGCTCTGCAAACCTCTCAGTCGCATGTCTCGACGCGCCTCACTGGTTAGTGATGTGTCTGTTTTTGCCATGTTTGTCTGCCTTTTTAATAGAACTTTCTCATTTTAGTGACTTTATTGGCTTTTCTTCTTGCTCCTAGTCTGACATAGGATTTGGGAAACTGGAAACATACGTTAAGCTTGGCAAACTGGGTGAGGTAAGTTGTAACAGTAACAGTTTTCATGTTTCATTAAGAACATACACATAGGTTAAACACTCAGTTTTGCTTATAAAGGCTTTGAAACGAGTGAAATGACGTGGACACATCTGCATAGCAGCCATAATAAGAGCTGGGTGAATTCTCTAAACACCTGAAATGGCATCATTGCTTCCTGTATTACCTCTTTTATCAGAGGGCAACCCTTTGTGAAAGGAAAGGAGATAGTGCCGTCCAATATTTCATAGTGACACTGTCAAGGCTCGGCTGTGTGGCAGGCAGGAGGAGGACCCAAACGCAAAACTCACAGACACGGGGATGAACTCAAAATCACAGCTTTAATGCTGGAATGGCAGAACATAGGAAGTACAAAACTAAACTGGGAAAAGTAAACTAACATACGCAGAGAGACACAGGGAGATCCACACAACATGAGGGACGACGTCACACTGAACAGAGGGAGACGCAGACAGAAATACACAGAGGGTTAACGAGGGAAGTGGGAACACACGGGGAACACAGGTGACACTGATAATCATAACGAGACAGGGCGGGGTGAACTGAACACTGACGGGAGAGGTGAAACAGGAAGTACAGGAGGAGAGAGAGCACGAGTAGAACCCCAACGTAACAGGCAGGGGAGACATGGAATAAACACGAAAGGGGACGAGGGCTCATAAATACATAGAGGGTACACAGGGGGAAGAGAGAGCACGGGGAGAACTTAGACATAATGGGCAGGGGAAGCATGGAATAAAATACAAACATACAAGGAAACTAAGAACGCTGGGCCAACATGGCCCAGGACCATGACAGTACCCCCCCCTCAAGGGCTGGCTCCAGACAGCCCAAACACAGAAAAACAAAACCAAACAGAAAACAACCCAGGGCGGGCGGCGGGGGCCCAGGACGGAGGGCCCGGAACAGAAAACAAAAGAGGAGCACAGCAAACACCGGAGCCCAAGAAAACAACCCAAACACAGAGCAGTTCAGGGGACCGACCATGCGGAAGGCAACGGCGGAGACGTGGAACCAGTTCAGGGGGCCGACCGTGCGGAAGGCAACGGCGGAGACGCGGAACCAGTTCAGGGGGCCGACCGTGCGCACGGCAACGGCGGCGATGCGGAAACAGTTCAGGAGGCCGACCGTGCGCAAGGCAACGGCGGCGATGCGGAAACAGTACAGGAGGCCGGCCGTGCGCAAGGCAGCGGCGGCGGCGAAGGAGACGACGGAGCAGTTCAGGAGGCCGACCGCGCGGAAGGCAGCGGCGGCGGCGAAGGAGACGACGGAGCAGTTCAGGAGGCCGACCGCGCGGAAGGCAGCGGCGGCGGCGAAGGAGACGACGGAGCAGTTCAGGGGGCCGACCGCGCGGAAGGCAGCGGCGGCCCTCCAGTCTCAGGCGTGCTGGCCATGGCCTGGTGGGCACAGGACCAGACGAGGCGGAAGCTGGACCAGACGAGGCGGAAGCTGGACCAGACGAGGCGGAAGCGGAGGCTGGACCAGACGAAGCAGCTGATGAGGAGGCTGGACCAGACGAAGCAGCTGATGAGGATGCTGGACCAGATGAAGCAGCTGATGAGGATGCTGGACCAGACGAAGCAGCTGATGAGGATGCTGGACCAGACGAAGCAGCTGATGAGGATGCTGGACCAGACGAAGGCTCTGAAGAGGCTGCAGCAGACGAAGGCTCTGAAGAGGCTGCAGCAGACGAAGGCTCTGAAGAGGCTGCAGCAGACGAAGGCTCTGAAGAGGCTGCAGCAGACGAAGGCTCTGAAGAGGCTGCAGCAGACGAAGGCTCTGAGGAGGCTGCAGCAGACGAAGGCTCTGAGGAGGCTGCAGCAGACGAAGACTCGGAGGCCGGACCAGACGAGGACGAAGACTCGGAGGCCGGACCAGGCGAGGACGAAGACTCGGAGGCCGGACCAGGCGAGGACGAAGACTCGGAGGCCGGGCCAGGCGAGGTTGCAGAGGCTGAGGCCGGGCCAGGCGAGGTTGCAGAGGCTGAGGCCGGGCCAGGCGAGGTTGCAGAGGCTGAGGCCGGGCCAGGCGGAGCTGCAGAGGCTGAGGCCGGGCCAGGCGGAGCTGCAGAGGCTGAGGCCGGGCCAGGCGGAGCTGCAGAGGCTGAGGCCGGGCCAGGCGGGGCTGCAGAGGCTGAGGCCGGGCCAGGCGGGGTTGCAGAGGCTGAGGCCGGGCCAGGCGGAGCTGCAGAAGCACAGGTAGAGGCTGGCCCAGGCGTAGCAGAAGCGGTCGCAGATGGCGGCTGGACAGGCTCCTCGGGCCCTCCAGCTGATGCGGCGTGAGGCTGGACAGGCCCCTCGGACCCTCCAGCGGAGACAGGAGGCCGGACAGGCCCCTCGGACCCTCCAGCGGAGACAGGAGGCCGAACGGGCCCCTCGGACCCTCCAGCGGAGACAGGAGGCCGAACGGGCCCCTCGGACCCTCCAGCGGAGACAGGAGGCCGAACGGGCCCCTCGGACCCTCCAGCGGAGACAGGAGGCTGAACGGGCCCCTCGGACCCTCCAGCGGAGACAGGAGGCTGAACGGGCCCCTCGGACCCTCCAGCGGAGACAGGAGGCTGAACGGGCCCCTCGGACCCTCCAGCGGAGACAGGGAGGTGCTGGCCGGGCTCACTGGAACCCCCAGCGGACGAGGTAGATGGCGGCGTGGGGGCCGCGGAGTCCTGGATGAGCTCATCCGAGCTTCCAGCAAGAGCTGATGTAGAGCCAGAGAGAATTGGGACCCCGGGCTCAACGTTAAGCTGGCTAGAAAACCGCACTGCTACGGGGAACAGGGCCAAGGGTTCAGGTGGGACCTGAGCTGCTGGACACACGGGGACCTGAGCTGCTGGACACACGGGGACCTGAGCTGCTGGACACACGGACCTGAGCTGCTGGACACACGGGGACCTGAGCTGCTGTCTGTAGTAACGGTGGTGGTGAGAGTGGAGTAGGTAGTGGAGTTAATGACTTCACAGGGGAACGAACTAGAGGTAGTGACGGTTGTGGTGCTGGTGGTTGAGTGGGTGACTGTGCTAAAGGAGGCTGCACTGGGGACACTGGAGACTGCACTGGGGACACTGGAGACTGCACTGGGGACACTGGAGACCGCACTGGGGACACTGGAGACCGCACTGGGGACACTGGAGACTGCACTGGGGACACTGGAGACTGCAGTGATGGTTGTAGTGGAGGTGTAACGGGTGAAGGAGTGGCTGAAGTGGCTGTGGGTCGGGCGGCTAGTGGCTCAGCTACAGGGTATGGTAACGGCAGGGCTATGGGTTGAATGACTGACCGAGTAGCAGCCTGAGTGGCTGGGTGTAGCGACGGTTGTGGTGAAAGAGAAACAGGTGGTAGTGTGGATGACGGAACTAAGGGCGACTGAGTGGCAGACCGAACTGATGACTGAAGCGATGGTAGAGGTGAAAATGGAGCGTGTGGTGGAGTTAATGGCTGAGCTAGCGGGGACACAGGAGACTGAACTGAGGGGGACACAGGAGACTGAACTGAGGGGGACACTGGAGACTGAACTGAGGGGGACACTGGAGACTGAACTGAGGGGGACACTGGAGACTGAGCTGAGGGTGGCTGCGAGGGAGCTAACTGAGCTGAGGGTGGCTGCGAGGGAGCTAACTGAGCTGAGGGTGGCTGCGAGGGAGCTAACTGAGCTGAGGGTGGCTGCGAGGGAGCTAACTGAGCTGTGGGTGGCTGCGAGGGAGCTGACCGAGCTGGAAGCAGCAGCGAGGGAGCCGACGGAGCTTCTGGTAGCACAGCAGGTGAATTAGAAGGCCGAATGTCCGGCTGTGGGGTGGCGCGTCGGCGGCGTGAATGCCGTTTCCTTTTTGATGATGGCTCTGACGGGCCGAGCGGCTCCACATCCGGGCCTTCAGGCAGGTGGGTAGTAGCAGCTGGGGATGAAGGTGGAGCTCGTTGCGGATTAAATCCTGTTCGAGTGGGTGGAGCGCACTGAGTAGCCAGGGAAGACCAGAGATTAAACGCTGTAGTTTGGTTTCCACAGCACGGCGAAATTCCTTCCCCTCACGTTCGAGCCACAGATGCAGGAGTCTTTCCACGGAGTAGATAATGTCCAGACGCAGTTCTTCTGGTGGGTTGAGTGCTGCTGGGTCCATATCTGGTGACGTCGTACTGTCAAGGCTCGGCTGTGTGGCAGGCAGGAGGAGGACCCAAACGCAAAACTCACAGACACGGGGATGAACTCAAAATCACAGCTTTAATGCTGGAACGGCAGAACATAGGAAGTACAAAACTAAACTGGGAAAAGTAAACTAACATACGCAGCGAGACACAGGGAGATCCACACAACATGAGGGACGACGTCACACTGAACAGAGGGAGACGCAGACAGAAATACACAGAGGGTTAACGAGGGAAGTGGGAACACACGGGGAACACAGGTGACACTGATAATCATAACGAGACAGGGCGGGGTGAACTGAACACTGACGGGAGAGGTGAAACAGGAAGTACAGGAGGAGAGAGAGCACGAGTAGAACCCCAACGTAACAGGCAGGAGAGACATGGAATAAACACGAAAGGGGACGAGGGCTCATAAATACATAGAGGGTACACAGGGGGAAGAGAGAGCACGGGGAGAACTTAGACATAATGGGCAGGGGAAGCATGGAATAAAATACAAACATACAAGGAAACTAAGAACGCTGGGCCAACATGGCCCAGGACCATGACAGACACACTACAAAAACAAACCATCAACAGAAGGTTATCATGTAAGCTGCTGCTCCGTTTCTTATCTTACAGGTTACAATGTGATGTTAATACACGTTTTGTACTCTGTACAATTTGTTAAACCCACCGGTGAACTTTAAACACTTTGCCGTCGTGTTACGTAGTTGTTGTTTCAAGTACTTTGGAATTTGTATAGTGCTTTTCAACCTTACTGACCAATCAGAAAGGTTATGCCACGTTCATGCACTTCTGTCCACTCCACTTTATCTACCTCACATCCATGACCAGTGTGGAATCACCAGTTAACCTAATATGCATGTCTCCGAGTAGGGGTCAGAGTACTCACGGTTGGTCAAGTTACTTGAATATAGTAATTAGTTCCTAATTACTGATCACTTCTCAAAGAAAGTAATCCCGTTACTTTACTGATTACTTATTTTCAAAAGTAATTATTTACTTTGTTACTTTGTTACTTTTTAAAAGCACGATACACAACCTGAATATGTAATAAAGCAACAGACCTCTCAGCCATTTTTTTCTGTATAATCCATCATATGAAACTGAATCAAATGAAAAAAAGTATCTTTTTAAAACTTGTTTTATTACTTTTCATCTTTTAACGTTATGCACATTGCATCAAGCAAAAATTCATTGCGTTAAATGCAGTTATATGCAACACTGTTTGACTTGAAGAAATCTGTTTAACATTGAAACCTATTTTCTGCATATTCCTGCATATAAAATTAAATAATTTTAAACGCTAATGTTTTTGTCACTTTTTACGGACTAAAACTCAAAGTGATATGAGTACTTCCACACTTTAAACGCTGCATGGTCGTGTTCTCTCCTGCACTCCATATTATCCATTGTTGATCTGCACATGTCTGTTACCATGGATGTCGCACGCTCGTACGTCATTAATGAGACACTCACAAACAAAATCACGGTTTAGTAACGCAGCGTGCTTACGGGAAAGTAACTGTATTTAATTACCTTTTTGCAATAGTAATCCCTTACTTTTTTCAAGTAATGAGTAAAGTAACTGGATTATAGAGAGACCATGCAGGAAAGGCCCCAGTCAACCAGGAAATGTAAATCAGGAAGTTTCTTGCCATGATTTTGAGCTGTATTAAAATGATGAAGTGGAGTTTGTAGTCTTCATCATTTTGGACATAGTTGTATTTTAATTAGTTTGCCAAGTTCGCAGAATGATTTTAATAGGTTTTCATATTTTTAAAGTCTCATTTTTATTTTCATTTTAGTTAACTACGTTTTTAGTTTAAGTTAACTGTAAAAACCTCGCTCCAAGCACTCTGCTTTTTTCCATTTCACATGGTGTTAATTTGCCTCTCGTCCATTTCTAGAAACACAAGAATCTGAACTGACGTGTTTTTGCAAAGCTTGAATATTCTAACACAGATTACTCTCTATTCAGTTTTGCCTGGAGTGAAGTAATCTCAGTTAACCTAACATAGTGTCATGACACTTCATGTTTCCTGTGAATGCACACTAGACTTTACAGAGGTTGGGAATTAATCTTGTAATGAAGTGATTTTTGCTACTGGTTTGTCCACGTTGACACAGCCATTCATAAAACACAGAAACAATGCACAGGGCAAAGTATAAAAGATGTGAGTTTTGTAGTCCATCTCTGGGACATGATATCAACTCAGCAGACTGACATCAGCAACATACTGCTGTCACATTATCACGTGTCAGAGCAGTCAGATACACAGTGGTTCTGTTCTCCTCAGTCACTATAACTGCTGCTTTGCAAGAAATAGATTTTCACCCACATCATAGTCCAGTGAGATATGAGTGTACACAACAAGTCCACAGATAAACGTCCCCAGAGGACAACGTTGTCTGTGATCAGCCATGCTCATCGTATCAAAATGAGTACCACATGCAGTATGTGCCTTCTTTGCTTATATACCAAGCCAAACTAGTGTACCCATGTGTCCAGATTTCTGGCATGGCTTCATGACAAATTGCTAAGTGGATTACATTTCATGGACTTGCCTAAGATGAAGAGGGCTCATGGGCTGAAAGCACCTAAATACCATGCTATTCATGTGAGAACATTTATTGCCTTAAGGGCTGAGGAATGTTTAGTGGCAGAAGCAGCCTGCATCAATCTGAGTCACAAGGCTCAGCAGCTGATGACAGGGGTGGCAGGAGATCAAGAAGAGCTGCTTTTATTGTCAATTATAGTGATAGGAGGTCCACAAAAGCATGGTTAGCTTTACACAAAACCAGCAGTGGAAGGTTATTCTAGATGACAAATCATCAAACTTTAATAATCAGATCCTAAAACAATATTTACATATATATATATATTTAATTATTGAATGTGACAAAGGCTGTTCGAGATGTGAAGTTGATGCTTTCACACACGATATGTGAAATCTTAATTCAGTTTGTAAAAGAACGGAAAAGTTTTATTGGGAATCTTTTAACAAATGATATTATTATAGCATTATAACCTATTGTGACATCAAATTGTTCCTTTAAAAGAAAAATTGTTATTGTTGTTATGGATTTTCATAAACTATAGACTTCATTGTTTCATCCTGCTATGGATGGTTCCACTGCGCTTCCCAGTATTCCCGTTATGACTCCATTAGCATGCAGATGTTTGAACCACTTCAGCTCTTTCCTTTTGATGGAATACCAATAAGAGCCAAGGATACAGCTAACGATTGAAAATATATTAAAGGGTTATTTGTGCATAAGTGATGTGGATGTGTGTGTGGATGGTGCCACACCCATAGTCTCTATGTGAACATGTACTTTTTATTAGTATATTTTGTTGTAGTACAGCAACATCAGAATATCAGTAAGCTCTTCGGGGTGTTTCTCTGTGCAGGGGACATACGCTACAGTCTTTAAAGGGCGGAGCAAACTCACTGAGAACCTGGTTGCACTGAAGGAGATCCGGCTGGAGCACGATGAGGGGGCACCTTGCACTGCTATCAGAGAAGGTATGTGCGCACACACACACACACACACACACACACACACACACACACACACACACACACACACACACACACACACACACACTTTACAGTCCAGTGCTGCTGTGTTTGTGTAGCACTTCTACTTGCAGTTTTGGTAATCACACCGAACAGGTAGGTCTAATAATAACACCGTGTCCTTTCATTCACCTGCAGCATTAGTAACAGAGCAACTTGAATTAATACTACAGAACTGTTGATACAGTTCAATATATCAGGTCGATGTTGCTAAAGAATTTGCTTATGTATGATCCTTTTTAGAAGCTGAATTATCTTAAATGGTCATTTAAATGTTCCTCATGTGAGTCATGTCACGGTCTCAGGATTTTACAGTGTTATGGAATTTTGATCATCATTAATTTTTTATTTTTGTTCTTATTCTAGTCTAGTTGTTCTAGTTATTTTATTCTGTCTCTTAGGCTGAGATGTGGAAAGATCTTGCAGACCCAAATGCAAGACGCAGAAGATGCAAAATCAAACTCAAAACAGACATTAAGTGCAAATTTAATCTGAACAATTTACAATGTCCAAAGAATCCAAAGGGAATGCAAGCCAAAGAAAATAAGTAAAAGGGAACTCATTAAATAGTAACAGTGAGTGAAACTTAAATGAACATATCAGAAACTCAAAACACAAAATCTTTGTGTGGAAACAGTGAAGTAGGAGTATAAAGTAGCATGAAAAAAAATCAGTACATGCATGTGTGTTAAATTTGATGAGAAGGATCAAAGAGCTCTCTTTTTGTTGTACAGTGGCTATGCAAACTTTAAAGCAACACACAGCTGCTAGCTTTAGACCACAGACTGTATATAAAGGTGGACAAATAAGTGAAGCCTCGGGTGTAGTGTTGTCAGGTTTTGTTGAATAAAATAGCTCACTTCATGTCTCCTTCCCTTGCCCAACCAGTGTCTCTGCTAAAGAACCTGAAGCACGCTAACATTGTCACCCTGCATGACATCATCCACACCGACCGCTGCCTTACTCTGGTGTTTGAGTATCTTGTGAGTATATCACTTCATCTTTATTAGGTTTTCTGAAGATGTTGATCTCAAATACCAAAAAGCAAAATGGATCAATTTGACTGTGTGTTTCAGGACAGTGATCTTAAACAGTACTTGGACAACTGTGGGAACCTCATGAGCATGCATAATGTCAAGGTGAGTCATATGCATGAATCATCATCTACATACTGCACATTGTAGAGAGTTGCACTAAGTAAGTTTCCTGAAAAATGCGTTCAACATTTCTTTAACAAAGGTCGGGAGGTCACCGAACCTCACCAAACCAAATTACAATCAGGGGGAACCAACAAAAAATTCTGCCACTGTGGAGCCACCTGCTACAGTGACCCACGTGAATAAGAGAGCAGCCAAAACGAACTATTTGTTTGCAAATGTGAAAACCTTTGGGCAGATCTACGGTCTGTATCAGGACAAAACTGTTTAGTTTTTTGATACTAAGAGTTGCTCTCCATATTCATAACTAGGTCCAGTGTAAATTGTGCAGTGGAAAGCTGGCCTTACTGCATATGTATTTATGGGAGCTTCCCTTTAAGCTTGAAAAACTTTGGAAGGAGAGTATTTAAATGATTGACAGAAATGTGCTTTGTCCATCTTGTATGATGTATGTTTTGATTTAGTTAAACGTAAACAGTTTTTTAATTTTATTTTAGAGTTACTATACGAGTTTCCTTAAACATTGATCAATTTTTTTCTGCTTATTTGGGCCCTAGTTGACCACCCTCTCCCCAGCCACCTCCTCTAGTGTGTCCATGGAAAAACCAAAGCATTCCCAGCCCAGCTGAGAGATATATTCCCTCCAGCATGACAACTACATTGTTTAAGGACTCTGATAATAGATGATAGTTATGCAATACACTGAACATAGAAAACATATCAAATGTTTAAATTAAGGGAATGTACCATTTTAAGATGTAAATAAGGTCTGTACTTGCCTCTCAGAATTAATGCTGCCTTTCCAGATCCATTCCCACACTCTCAGAAATGCAGAGTGCAGATGCGCATCCATGTTTTCTAAAAAGAACTTCAAATTTCGATTCATCTGACTACAGGACAGTTTGACACTTCACCACAGTCCAGTTTAAATTAGCATAACGGAGAGAAGAGGATGCTGTTTCTAGATGCTGTGCACATGTTCACAGACCTTTGACCTTGCTTTGTGAACGGCACGGTGAACTGTGTTCACAGAGGGTGATTTGTGGAAGCGTCCCTTAGTGTCATTTTTATTAAAGATTGTTTTGTTTTTATCTTTTCTTTTGTTTTAAATCTTAACTATTACACAACTACTGCAACTCTTTTTCTCCTCAGATTGGTCCTGTATTGTTGTTCTGGTAATTACATCCTCCTTTCATGTTTCTGTCTGCAGATCTTCATGTTCCAGCTGCTGCGTGGTCTGTCCTATTGTCACAAGAGAAAAATCCTCCACAGAGACCTAAAGCCTCAGAACCTGCTTATCAATGATAAGGGCGAATTGAAATTAGCTGATTTTGGTAGGAAGGAGAACAATAACAAACACACAACAACATGCACACATTAACAAGTGAACTTTTGTGAAGGAAACGACACGTTTCTGGGCATGATCACTCCCCAGTTCTATTTTACTGCCACTCAAGAGATCGCCTGTCCTAATTACTTTAGCACCTTTACTTCCTGTATCCTAGCAACTGTGCCCCTCACTCTGAGTTTTCACAGTTTTCTGCTGGAAATGGGAATTAAATCCACCAGTACTTTCTGACTGCATTTCAAAAGTTTTAAATAAACACGGGTAATGTGCGGATAGCGGAAGCTTCTCTTTACCTGCTCACAGTGTGTAGATGATGGACTTATGATATTTCACTGTGCTGTTACTGAGGTCCTGTGACTTGTGTAATGTCCAGGTCTGGCCAGGGCCAAGTCCGTCCCCACTAAGACCTATTCCAATGAGGTGGTAACGCTTTGGTATCGACCTCCTGACGTGCTGCTAGGCTCTACAGAATATTCCACACCCATCGACATGTGGTAAGCAGGGGACAATAGACGTTTCTGTTGAAGGGCCGTCCTTACATTTTTCCACATCAGTCACGGTGCACACTGACCTGCTTGGCTGGAAACTAAATTTATTTATTTATTTATTATTTATTTCCACCAAAAGTGCAAAAGTGTAGGAGCTCCGGGCCGCTGCGTCTGTGCGCGCCGCCATCTTGGTACATGGTAAATGCTTGAAACACAGCTAGAAGTGTACTTTAAACCACTGAGCTGGTCAGGAAAGGAATTGGTGCCGACCCTGGTTACAGTAAAATCCTGTTACTTGGTGAAACACTCAAATATTCTCGAGGGCCATCCAGGATTTCCATGACTCAGTTCTGTCTATTAAAATGTCACAGGTTGTTAGCAGTGAGGTGAGTCACTAGTCATACAAAGGGGGCGTGCATTCACTTTCCTTACGTGTTTTTGCACACGGTTTGCTGTGGTGAGAACACCCCCACAGCTCTGCTAAATCAGAAATATAAATGTGGCTCTCTAGCAACACAGCAGCCTTTTATGAGCACATAGAGCTACATACACTCTCATCAGACTGCAGGATGCCTCTTCACCACGCCATCCTGTGTGGAACAAAAGGCTGGACTGTGCCCACTCACTGCATACTAGTTTGCACTTACAATTAACAGTCTTTGAAGTGTGTGTGTGTGTGTGTGTGTGTGTGTGTGTGTGTGTGTGTGTGTGTGTGTGTGTGTGTGTGTGTGTGTGTGTGTGTGTGTTGAACTCAACCTCACTCAGAATTTTTATACCTAACAGCTTGTCCTCCTCTGTGCCTCCTTATCTCCGCCTCCTTCTCACAGGGGCGTAGGCTGCATCCTGTATGAGATGGCAACAGGTCGTCCTATGTTTCCTGGTGCCACTGTGAAGGAAGAGCTACATCTAATTTTTAGGCTCATGGGTAAGAAAAACATTATTCAAATGTAAAGGCCATACTAAAGTATATTACAGCAGCGAGAGACAATAAGTAAAGCTTTAAATCGTCTTTATCCTCGACCAAGTTTAAAAGTCTTAGAGGACTTGGCCACTACATTTAATATTTCATTTCTATTCCAAATATTGCATATTCAGAGTTTGATGCAGCTCATGTATGTTCTACATTCAGCATATTCTGCTCTGAATTGTTATTCTGAAGCATTTTTATGGAGAGAAATTTGCCTCAAAAGGGTTCCAAATGCGTACGGTATGATCCACCAAGGGCGTAATTTCCAGGGGGGTTGGGGGGGTTATGACCCCCCCAATAATCAGACCCAGGCAATCCCCCCCCCCCACCCAATAAAATTATGGATTATCTTGCATAAATAGGCTGTTGATTTTCTTTACTCGTTTCAGTTATTACCAGCAAAATAGTTGCATATTTAATCATCTGGGAATTTACCCAGTGTGATTCAGTCCACACAAATGTGAAGCAACTGGCCACACATGAAACTATTTTACATCCAAACCTGAATAAATAGTCATTATTTATGCACAATTTACACACAAGTTCAGTTTCATGAATTGGATAAATTTCTCTTTCAAAGAGCTTTTTAAAGCTTTGTCTAAGACTACGTCTAACCTCTCTCCCGCTCACAAAACTTTGCATGCTTGTGCACCAATCGCCTGATATTTACAGGTCGCATCACGTGCCGACGTGGGGTTTTGAGGCCACAAATTCCACAAAACCACCCAGATCCACAAATACAAAATCATCCGATTCGTAAAGTTGAACTTAATAAATAAATTGACTTCCTTATGCATATACAAACTGCTGCGTCTTTATACAGTACTGTGCAAAGGTTTCAGGCAGGTGAGAAAAAATGCTGTAAAGAAGGAATTCTTTCACAAATCGAAGTGTTAATCATTTATTTTCATCAATCAAAAAAATGCAGTGAATGAACAAAAGAGACATCTAAATCCAATCAGGATTTGGTGTGACCTCCCTTTGCCTTCTTCTAGGTGCACTTGCACAGTTTTTGAAGGAACTCTGGTGGTAGGTTATTCCAAACATCTTGGAGAACTAAGCACAGATCTTCTGTGGATGTAAGCTTCCACACATCCTTCTGTCTCTTCGTGTAATCTCAGACACACTCGATGATTGTTGCCGTACCATCACTTCCAGTACTTCCAGTTCTTCTTTACACTGAAGATAGTTCTTAATGACTTTGCTGTGTGTTTGCGGTCGTCGTCCTGCTGCAGAATACATTTGGGGCCAATAAACAATCATTTATATTTCTGAAAGCATTCTTTGTTTACACCATTTTTTCACACCTGCCTAAAACTTTTGCACAGTACTGTGTGTGCCATACACAAAGCTGCCAACCAACATTTTATAAGGCCGGGTACAAGCACATCTCCCAAGAGTAAGTTAGTATAGACCTGAATATCATTTGTGCATGTTGTTATTTTAAAAACATTTATTTAATCCTTGAGATCATGAGCTCATTTTTAGGAGAGGCCTTTGTACAAAGCACATGTAACAATATGGACAGGCACACTTATGTAATACAAAGATACATGTTCACACATAAATGTAACCTTTTAAAATGCTCTAATGAAATAATAAAATGCAGCTCCATGCTTTTTTCTAGTTTATCGTGTTCATAGGCAGCAAAGGTTTCCATCCACTTTGTTTCAAGTTCAACGTAACTGAGAAGAAGAGCTGATGTTAACATGAGTGCAGAAAAGAACCACCTGTGAAAACACACAAAAACCCCACCAAAGGCAGTGTTGGGCAAGTTACTTAATTATAGTTACTAGTTACTTCTTCAAAAAAGTAACTGAGTTAGTAACTGTGTTACAATATTCTAAAAGTAATTAATTACTTGAAAAGTAACTATTGCATTACTTAAAAAAAATGTTTAACCCTCTGGGCTCCAGGGTATAATTGGCCATTTTTAACTACTTTTGATGTTTCCTCCACATTTCACCTTTAAAAACTGTTTATTTGCTTGTTTGGTATCATTCTTTTCAGCACAACCTCACGTGTCTGAATTTACAGTTATGTTTTCATTTTGACTGTATTACCACAATTGATCTAAAATCAGACAAAAAACATAAAATCAGAGTAGAAAGAGTTATATTTTTACTGTAACAACCACAAACATGTTTATTGAATCATATTTCATAACTTTAAATGCAAATATAAATTGTCAATTTTAAAATCCTATTTGTGCCACTCCAAATATTTCTGTCCACTATAAAGGAGAACATCACAGCCTGATACCTGCAGGCCTGACAGCAGCAGGTGTGTCACTCCTGTTTCTACCTGGAGACAGCAGTCGCCTCATTGTTCTGACACACAACACAAAACTATCCACAACACTACACACTAACTACACAAGACAACACATTAACTACAAACTACAAACATGCTAAACGTCACAAATCCCTCACATCTCAAAACTCACTCTTTCTCTCTCTTTTTCTGCTCTCTCTCTCGCCGTCACTCCTAAAACTTCCCATTTTTTGTTTTTTTTTGCTCATAAGCAGAGAGTGCTCGCTGTGCTGTCATTAGACAGTAAATGTGACGAAACTATTGAGGAAAAAACACACGTGTATATTATTTATCATGACTCTGGTTTTACGTGGACTATCAACACAATTTATAAACTGGTATATATCACATTGTTGCTTTGTCTTTAAGTGGTCATGTGATTGGCTTACCACGACTTCCTCAGTCAAACAGCAGCACTCATGTGATTGTTTTGCCCCCTGAGCTCCAGGTGTTGTGCAGTGATCATGATTACCGTCCGCGGGAGCGCGCAGCTGCTTAAAGCTGTAATGCCCAGATTACTTACAGCTGCTTCCGTGCAGCTGATATAAGATGCGGTAAGATGAACACAGCTTCAACCGTCTGTTTGTTGAAAAATAGTAACGGACCGCATTTTCTTATTAGTAACTGTAACGGCGTTGTAATGATAGGAATAGTAATTAGTAGGAATAGTAATTAGTTAGATTACTCGTTACTTAAAAAAGTAACGCCGTTACTTGTAACACCGTTATTCCCATCAAAGGTAATCGAGAAAAAAATGTAAAAATTGAATAATAACTTTCAAATTTACATTTTCTCAAATTTACTCTCCTGAAGTCTCACAGAGAAGACAATTCTTTCCATAATAATGATTCCATAAGTAACATTCAATCCTCAAAGACCTGGGGAGACACAAATAAACATGACGCCACAGGGCAAAGTAAAACTAAACACATTAAACAAGAAAACACTAAACTCTTCAAAATAAAACAGGAACCATGGAGAGACGTAGACATGACAACACAAGCCTGACAATTAGAACATGGAACACGCTGAGAGACGGACACACAGGCATAACTGAAAAGTAAAAACACTGAGGACAAGACAGACTACAAAGAGGACAACAAAAGACTTCAGGAGTTATAGATGAAACAAAAACTAGAATGAAACTCAATTAAATTCTAACTAATAATAACAACCAAAGAACTAAACATATTTCTAATATAACACGAGGAATCAAAAATGCAAAATAAACTCAAAACGCTCGGTCACAGACCCAGCGCCTGACAATTTCTTTGAGCAAGCCATCATTAGCAATAATATTTAGCCTTGTTTCCAGAGATTGTTGATCCATTTGTTAGTTCCTGCAAATTTTTAATAATTTTTTTTCTTGCCCAACTGTGCTTGAACCCCAAAAGTGTGCCCTTTAATTCCCTTCCATCTTCTACTGTAGTTTGCATTGCACCATTATTTTATTGGTGTCTATTCAGTAACGATTCAGTGAGCTTAATGCTTCTCTTGCTCCTGATTTAGATATAGATCAGCTCAATATTTGTATGAAAATGTCAGGTGGCAGTGTCCTCTGATCAAGTATTTCTTTTGTTTCTTTGCCCAACAGGCACTCCGGCAGAGGAGACCTGGCCTGGTATCAGCAGTAATGAGGAATTTATGTCCTACCTCTTTCCTCAGTACAGACCTCAAGCTCTCATCAACCATGTGCCCCGGTAAAACTCACAATCTTCTCTTCACTGCCTATTCACTGGCACAAAAAACAAGCTAACATTTGCTGATTAGCATCACATGCAGAATAATTGCTGATGCTGGTATCAGTTTGCTGTAACTAGTTTTTGAGCCATCACATTGATAATGGTAACTTTATTTGTCCCCAATATGCTCATGTTGTTGTCATGTTTCAGGTCTTACATAGTTAACTGAACTCAAAGTTAATTATGTCAATTCTAAACACAAAATACAATACAGTATAAAAATGTTATTCATTGTTTACAGTAGTAATATGTATTTAAAGGCACAATTAGTGTCCTTTACAGAAACTATTTCTTGCAGCTAAACTCATTATACAGTCTGAACTGTTGCTTTGTGTCCCTAAGGTTGGACCCAGAAGGGATTGACCTGCTGTCTGCTCTGTTGCTGGTAACGGACCACACATCCACACTCCTGGTTATGAGGACCTAAATATTCAGACTCACCGATGAGCTGTTTTTATCTCATGATTGCAGTATGACACCCGGAGCAGACTCTCCTCTGAAACCGCTCTACGTCACCCCTACTTCCTGAGTTTGGGAGACAACATTCATAATTTGGCAGACAGTAAGACAGACACACACACACACACACACACACACACACACACACACACAGAGTATATCAATATCTAACAAAGCATGAATGCTGATGGTGCTTTGTACTAAGTTAAAGTACTAAACTCAATATTTGTTCTAATTACTGTAGGCAGGAATGTTTTTACTCTGTGTGTGGATAGTATTTTCCTGCTGCTGTATTATCACTCTTCAGAAACAAATGTCTTTTCCTGCATGTCAGTTTGTCTTTTCATAGCAGCGTATGACCAGTGTGTAGCTAATTTAGTTAATTATGACCCTGTTCCAATTGGGGGGACACCCGTAGATGAACCTCTCCACAGCCTGCTCTTCAACATTGTTGAAGCAGTGTGGGGTCATCTTGACAGAGAACAGATTTGTATATATTTGGACCAACTTTGTCTTATAGCATAGTGATTAACATTTCCTTGTCAAGCAAAAGGTCAGTTGTTCAGTTCCAGCCAGAGACAGAAATCCCCTTTGGGGTCGAATCAGAATCAGAAGTATCCAGTATGAAACTCCTCCAAATGAAGCATGTGAAGCTGCCCGCACTGGCAACCCCTTTGTGACAAGGGAGGACCTAAAAATAAATTCTCCTGTTACTCAAGAGGATAAGTGACTTTGCCCTTTGCTGGGCTGAGAGAGGTGCCAGCTGCAGCCTGAAACCTTCACAGGGGCGTGGGTTTCTGGCTGGGCTTTAATTTCTTCTGGTCTTCTGTAGAGATTATTGCCACTGTAACGGTGTGCCACCAGATATGCATGTACCATCGCTGGGATCTGAACCTGAAAGTGCAGGTAGTATATGAAGAAGGTGAACTCCTTCCTTAAACACAAGAAGAGTGCAGGTTCACAGCTTTGTCATACCATCTCACAATGATGTCGTCCTGCTTTTCTCTGATGTCTAAAGAGCCTCTTCCCTTTTTCTTCAAATCTTTCTCATCCATTGTGTTGCAGTCTTTTACTCTGCTCATTCAAACTTTTCATGTTATGTTTTGGATTCCTCTTTTTTTCGAGTGTTCCACGTGTAAAAGGGAAGAAAGTAGTTTTCTGCAAAAACCTTGTGATTTTATTTTTCCTGCTGGAAGAGCTGAGGCCATTTTTACACAGCATCTCCAGTAGAACCAACATCAGATTTACAGGGAGTGCAGAATTATTAGGCAAGTTGTATTTTTGAGGAATAATTTTATTATTGAACAGCAACCATGTTCTCAATGAACCCAAAAAGCTCATTAATATCAAAGCTGAATGTTTTTGGAAGTAGTTTTTAGTTTTAGCTATTTTAGGGGGATATCTGTGTGTGCAGGTGACTATTACTGTGCATAATTATTAGGCGACTTAACAAAAAACAAATATATACCCATTTCAATTATTTATTTTTACCAGTGAAACCAATATAACATCTCCACATTCACAAATATACATTTCTGACATTCAAAAACAAAACAAAAACAAATCAGCGACCAATATAGCCACCTTTCTTTGCAAGGACACTCAAAAGCCTGCCATCCATGGATTCTGTCAGTGTTTTGATCTGTTCACCATCAACATTGCGTGCAGCAGCAACCACAGTGTGTCTTGTTCAGTGGTGGTCGTCTTTCAGCCTTTCTTACCTTGGCCATGTCTCTGAGTATTGCACACCTTGTGCTTTTGGGCACTCCAGTGATGTTGCAGCTCTGAAATATGGCCAAACTGGTGGCAAGTGGCATCTTGGCAGCTGCACGCTTGACTTTTCTCAGTTCATGGGCAGTTATTTGGCGCCTTGGTTTTTCCACACGCTTCTTGCGACCCTGTTGACTATTTTGAATGAAACGCTTGATTGTTCGATGATCACGCTTCAGAAGCTTTGCAATTTTGAGACTGCTGCATCCCTCTGCAAGATATCTCACTATTTTTGACTTTTCTGAGTCTGTCAAGTCCTTCTTTTGACCCATTTTGCCAAAGGAAAGGACGTTGCCTAATAATTATGCACACCTGATACAGGGTGTTGATGTCATTAGACCACACCCCTTCTCATTACAGAGATGCACATCACCTAATATGCTTAATTGGTAGTAGGCTTTCGAGCCTATACAGCTTGGAGTAAGACAACATGCACGAAGAGGATGATGTGGACAAAATACTCATTTGCCTAATAATTCTGCACTCCCTGTATTTGTTCTGGATTTTCTGCCCCTTGTAACAACAAATCAATGTAAAAAAAACACAAATACTTTGTCCTGTACGTCTCCGCATCTTGAAAATCCATTGTTGAAGCTTTGCTGGCATGTTAGATGCGTAAATGTTTTTTAAGTGAATCAGCATCAGGACTTTCAGGAATCTGTCTCAACACATCACTTCACAAACAGCAAAGCGCTTTGCCTTCATCTCCCAACAGACTCGTACACTGGGCAGCTGTACTTATCCCATGTGCATGTACATACCCAGAATTTGCTCAGTTTCCTTAGGAATTTTGTTTAATGACTTTCTTCTTTCCACACACTACACATGTTTATTTGTTCTGTTGTTGTTGTTTCTTATAGCATTTCGTATTCACAGAATTTACAAGATGCATGTATGGTGCTCAGACAAGTCTGTCGTCTGAGTCGTCCTCAACACATTCCACAAATTCAACATCTCAAAGTCAGGATGTTTTTCTTTTTCCACTGATACTCTTGCCTTTGCACTTTGCCTCTTGCTGAGTGCTTCGAGGTCAGTTGGTGTGTGATCTGGACAGTTTAGGTGTGACATGTGACAAATACTGGATGAAAATGGGACGCCGTCCCACAAAAATGTGTGACCAAGCTGGTGATCAGCATGAGGAGGTTGCAGCCTGTGTCAGCTGTGTATGGTTCCTCCACATGCTACTGAAGGCCTTTATTGTTAAATGAATACATTAAATTGTCAATACAGTAAACACCAACAAACAGCACTCAACAGCAGAATAACTGTTTGGTACTGACAGAGAAGCTTTAGCAAGGTTTTCATGGGAGCAGCCCACATTCAGTGCTCTACTCACTCCTTACAAATGTGGCACCATTTCAAGGGCAACAAAGTCTCTCCAGTTGTTTACGATTTATTGTGAAGAACTATTACTATAGAGCAAAGGAATAACTGACCAAACAAAAGTGTCCTTACTTGCTTTGCTACGTTTGTTCTCCACCTGCGTTACAGCTGCTTCAGTGTTTTCTCTCAGAGAGGTGCAGCTCCAGAAGGACCCAGGACACCGCAGCTCAGTATTCCAGCCTTTAGGTAAGGGATCTGACCTCAGTGCAAAATCTGGCCACTTGTTGTTCACATAAGTAACATTTATAACATTCAGTCTTTGTGTTTTCTTCATATTGGTCACAAGAGAAAAATTTCCTTCATTGTTAATTTATCTGATTCTAAAAAAACAACTTTGTTCTTGAAATGCTGAGGTGTCTGCACATGTACTTTGTCAATTAGCAAAGCACTCTGAGAGGCCAGCGTGCCTTGTTTGTTTATTCTAATGCAGTAAAATTGCCACTCCAAAAACTCTCAGGGGAACTGAAAGACAAGTAAAAGTAATAAAGCCCTCTCTACTTTTTCAATTCCTTTTCTTTTATTGGAAAGTAGGCTCAGCTATTGTGAGATTTCTACTACTCTTTAATCAAACTAATTAATGTTAGGTTGAGAGATTCCTTTGAGGAAAAAAACATGAGTCATTCTTTCTTTTAAAAATTGCTTTAATTTGTTTGAATTAGTCAATAGGGCTGTTCGATATAACGATATATGTCGGATGACAATATAAAAACATCTATCATTTCATTTTACGCTATCTGTCTGTGAAGGTTCTCAGTCATCCAGGTCATCGTAGTCAAAGGAGCTTGCAAAGAAAAGCGTCTGGACTTCTTTAAGTTGTCCCTTTTGTCCCTCTGTGGGGGGTCACTCCCACTAGGTTTATATCTGGGACTCTCCACCATTTGACCTTAGAACTGAAGAAGCTTCTCGGATGAGAGGTGAAACGTCTTCAAGCAACTTAAAGAAGTCCAGACGCTTTTCTTTGCAAGCTCCTTTGATTTTACGCTATCGTTTGTTTCGTGGTGTCGAAACTGTTTACGGCAATATTTTTTCATCGTTCTGATGGTCACTGTAGTGGCTAAATTAATTTCTTAAAGTTCTCTCTTTCTCTTATATTTAATATAACCACACTACAGACGGACAAGCGCCTGTTTTTATGCGTTGTCGTTAGCAACAACAATGGTAACACCATCGCGAGTCCGCTTGTATGTTCCACATAGACCTTTCACAATAAAGCTCAAGATCCTGTTGAGACTTTTCAAAATAAACTGAATCACGTGAAAGAGCAGATTATTTACGGATGAGAAGTAAAAAAGAGCCGCCAGGTGCTAAAAAATAAACCTTAGACTCAAACCTTAGAACAGGCTTTTTCCCCGCAGCACGCCGTGTAATAAATACTCACAAAGAAAACTGCGGCTGTTACAACTTATGTCTAAAAATGTATCGTTTCATGCATCGGATAAAACACTCGACTCCAGCTACATGACGCGCAGCTGGAAACACTTCACGCAAGTTGAGCTGCCCGAGATTCACAGGATTTACAGAAAATGTTACATTTTTGTGATTTATATCGTTATCGGGACGATAGAATTCTTATATCGGGATATGAGATTTTGGTCATATCGCACAGCCCTATTACTCAATGCCAACTACAAGTGTCAACTTCAATTACAGGTCGAGGAAAGAACCGAAGACAAAGCATCTTCTAGAGGTCGTGGAGAGGATGAAGAGAGAAGACGGCGAGGAACTGCCTTTTCAGATCACAACACCAAGGCCATCGCAGCTCAGCACATTCACAGCATGTTCACCTGCACGGACAAACACGCACTCATTTCCATGGCAGCTGACCGTGGAGGCACACAGAGTTTCTGGAGACAAACTTGTATTGCACTTGAAATACCTTCTCTATTCATACATATTTGCACACATTTGCACAATCAGCTACACTGAACATGCTGCCGTGATGTAACTGGACACACGAGAGATTCATCCTCCCGACACGCACATGCATTTCAGCCTAAGAAGAAACGGAGCACTAAATGAAACGCTCTGCTATGCTATACTTACACAGGCCTGCTTTACATAGTGTTCAGAGCACACCCAGGGTTCTAGCCATTCAAAGTAGCTGCTATCACAACTGGAACAATGGATACAGTTGCAGGTGTGCGTGTCTTTGCCCTAACAGAAATGCAAGTATTGCATTATGTGTTGAGTTTGTTCCAGGTCAGTTGGTTTCTAAATTATTTTCTGGTTTTATCTTACAAAACTTATGGTCTAACACTGATATGTAGCTTAAAGACACAGTTTGGCAACCAAGGACCCTTATGAATCCTAATTCTTCTCTCAGCTCAACAGTGATTCACCAGGGATTTGTAGTTTGAGGACAGGGTTAAAACTTATACACCACCACTACCCACAGAAAAGGCTGACCAGAAACCAAAGAGAATAGTCACATTTTTTTCTGTTACTTGGATTATCGATTTTGTGATGTAATTTGTTTAAACATTGTGTAAATATATAGTTAATATTTTATTGTCACACAAGATGTTCATATCATGTTTTTAAGCCCCTTTGCTTTGCTAATCTGAAATTTAAAAAACTGTAATGTTAGATAAAACTCTGGGTGCTGCTAGGCACTTGCTCAATAACGGAATCGTATGCATTTGCAAAGTGTTTTGGCGAACTGATGAGGCAAAAACATTATGTGGCTGACAGAAAAACACTCAGTAAGGCTTCATGGTCATTCATTACTTTGCATAATGTGACAAGCTATGCATAATGTGCATTCACTAGTGACGGTTAGCTATCCCAGCTAGCTAAAAACTTATTCCAAATCCCACTGACATTTGAAATTATGCTAATAGCTAAAAGTTTATTCTGGAAGGGCATCTTTTAAAATGGCACGTTATAGGCACACAGATATTAAATTAGATATTTGAAGACTGATATAATATTATTGCTCAATAATCAGTCTGTTTAACAGTGCAGGGTTGCATGGAAGTTTTAGCATGTAGTGGTCAAACCATGTTCAGTTTCTGTGTTTACTGTGTGTTGCAGAAGGCGTTGATGCTCTCTTGGCTTTGTAATGAATATATACTTGTAGGTGCTGCTTTCAGTCTTGTGAGGTGCTTCTCTGCACCTGCTCACCTGACCAAGGATTCAGCACGGCACTAATCTGAAATGCAGTCGCAATTTACTTACACTTTGACAGCACAGTAAATGGGTTTAAATGGTGTGAGTTGCATTTGACGGTGGATTTTTACCGCTCAAGTTTATGAAAAGCACCTGTAGAATTGGAAAGTTAACTTTAAGTGTTATATTATCGAAGTATTAGGGTTGCTAACAACAACTTAAGATATTTTGTTATTAAAATATTCTTATAGGGAAACCCACAGATCCAAAATCATTTTAAAATTCACTCATGGTCATTTTTAATTGAGTATGAGCCTCTGTCCCATAGTTACAACTGGAGGTTCAGCTCTTCATGAACAATATGGCAACCGTGTTGACACAATGGTCCAATGAACCAAGCATTGCAGCATCTACATGTATATACCTTATCTCAACTGTTGTTATTGAACAGAATGGAATCGGATGTATTGTGATATTACCTCCGACATATAACAGTCTTGAAGTTGTAGGCATAGCGTCACACTGCTCATTTGCAGTACCTCTGCCGTCACGTAACAACCACTGAAGCTACCATAAAATCTGACTCCGTTGTGAATATAAACCTGGAAACTGGATAGACTCGCCTCGCTACAGTGCCCGTGTCTCCTCGTTGTGGGGGTAACATTCCTTACAGTGTTAACAGCTGACTTTCACACCAGTTTGTTGAAGTTGCCTTAGTAAACTGTGCATGATATTTTAGCTTGTGAAGAAATTATATTTGCTTCAGTGTATCCAATGTGCTAGGAGGCATTTATTTTGTGTATGTAAATAACTCACTATGGGTGTATGTATTTTTGTAGTTTCCTATTTGCACAAGCCGGAAGTGTCCTCTGAAGCCTGTTCCCCTCCCTTTGTGTCTTTCCTTACACGGTTCCAAAGTATGACCCCATATTTTACCAAACCCCCCATTCCTAAACCAGTGAATGGAGAAAATATGCCCTGTAGGTACTTTCTAGTATCAGTTTAATAGGGGTCACCACTACCCTAAATAATTTGCACAGCCTGTTGTTAGAGAGCAGCTTTTCACAGTAGATTCACTAAACAAAAGCACATACAGTGAGAAGTACACTCATCTGTTAATAGACAGGTGAGAATTTCACAACTGTGTTTTTAATAGTTCCCATGTGATCATTTGAGCCAAGAGCTTATGTGTATGTCCTGTTCAATGAATATTATCTGGAGACAAAAGTGATAATGGCTTTTGGATATTGATACTCTCCTCTGTCCTTAATTTGCTCTAACATCTTGCCTGTCCTCTTCCTTCTTGTTCAGTGCTGCTGAGGTATCCTCATTAACACCTCTGAGGTGTTGAGGCAACTGAGGTATTATTAATAGTTTTAGATACACCGTTTGGTGCCCTTGGACACATCATCAGTGATGTAACCTGAGGTCATGGGGGGTTTCGGGTCTCTCCATTGAAAAAGAAGATAGGCATTATTTTGTGACACGTTCAAAGTCTAAGTATGTGATCTGTAGTAAAAAGGTCCATAAAATATGTGAAAATCTCAAAGACCACTGTACTGGGACCACTGCTCTCCTGCCTCGCAGTATGTGGTCACCTCTGAGCTAAAGCGGTACTGAGTAAGCACTGGTTTTGAAACTTTCAGGGTGGTGCTTACACCGCTGAACCTTGCAGATATATTAGTTTGTTTTGTCTGTAGTTACCAGCCCGGCTGCCTTTGTAAGAATTCAGCTCTGTATGTATGAGAGAGACATGAAAAAGTCCCTCCTTCCTGTTTTTTTTTATCCTTTTGCATATCTGTCACACTTACAGGTTTCAGATCACCAAACAAGTTTTAATATTAAAATATTAATATAATATTTTAATATTAGACAAAGACTGATCCAAACCCAATGTAAGGTTTATGTCACAGCTTGCTAACAGTATCAATAATTACAGTTGTTTCTTTAATGCTTAATCCACCAGTTTGTGCAACATATTTAATCAAAATCATATTTTTAATACTACAGTGTAGTAATTGTCATTATCTATGAACTTTCAAATTTACTATTATACATAAATCCAAAAAAATAAAATAAAAAGCACATCATTATTATTTTTGTATTAAGATAAATAAACTAAATTGTTATAATTTTTTGCTGATATTCAAGTACAAAATTAGTTTTGGTGGTTGAATGCTACACCTGATTGATGTCTGATTAAAGTCCAGTGTCGGCTCAAATTTGAGTATAAAAACATGAATTCAGTAATAAATAACAATCACATTTTTAGTTTTAAACGTGTTTTTAACAGATATCTAAAATATCTGTTTTCTAGTTTTTATGAAAGGTGGTCTAAAAAATTGGTAAGCGCTCTCCATACAGTAAATAGATACAGGAAGGCAACCCAGCAGCCTTTGTAAGGCTTTTGGTTGGGAGACCAGTCATTGCATTTTGAGCAGAATGGCTCTAAATCACTGCTGTGTATTCCAGACAACCCATGTGGTCGTGCTTTAAACTTGCATTCTTTCCTAAGGCCAGCTGTGAGCAAGTCCTCTAGTTGCAAAAAGAAGTCCAGTAGAAGTCTGTTGTTTAAGCCTGTGATCTCAGTAAACACTGTCCCCATCAGCCTATGCTAGTTCATGTTCTAAATGATGGTCCCTGCTAAAGTGAAAAGGAAGAGCAAAGCTGGGAATGCTGTAAGGCTGTGACTGATGTGTTGCTATTGTATAAGCTTCACGCATTACAATAACCTGAGGATTATGATGGACTGTGAAGTAGATGGGCTACTATGTCACTGGCATTCTGGTGTACATGTGAGTCTAGTTTTAATATAATTTTAATGCAGAGTAACTGATGTCACACCATGTGGTATAGGTTGCTAATGGTGGATGGCTGTGTGCTGTTTTATTGATGTCAAGGACAGTTTGAGGTCATCCTGGCTGCTAAAAAAGACCAACCCTTGATTTTTATGTTGCAGTATTGGGTATTGCTGCACATCTAATGTGAACAGTCTCACAGGCTGCAGTAGTTTTAACATGCCAAATGAGGCGTTGAGTGGGGATGGCAATTCCAAGAGGCTGTAAAAGCCTTTTTGGGTGAGTGTAGATATGTCCTAATGAAATCTACTGCCACTCCAGTTGTATTTTACTTAGCTTGAATAGATAAGTCAATCCACAGATTTACTGGCTATGTGTGCTCTCTATCCAAGTGCAAACAAACAAATGTCACTTTAAAGTGCTCATAGAGGACAGCAGTAGAGAAGCAGAGAGCTGGGTCCAAGTGTCCTTAAGTCAAGCAGGTGCTTGCTGAGCACCGTCAATGGGGTTACGCTTGTATATGAGTGAAGAGACAGACGCCATTCAAATTTTTTTCTACCTCTACAAGTGGGTGAATAGAATAATGGTACAACCATCCCAACCTCTGTTCACCTGTCAGCGTGTTAGAGCAAAGATAGACACCGAGGAGAGGAATTCAGGGCCCACCTGCAGGGACTTCAGATGGATGTATCGCTGTAGACGTTACACTTCCAACCTTCCCCTCCTCCTCCCTCAATGGCAGAAGTATTACTGTGTGTTTAGTTGTGGTAAATGAAGCTATTTTAAATATTGTAATAAAGAAAAAATAAATAATATATGTATTTTAACAGATGTTCTCATTTTTCTCAGTGAGTTTTATGATGTTAAAAAAAAGCGGAGCTCTTAAAATAAAAATAAAGAAAAAAACTGTAGATGACGTCTAAATGTTTTATAAACGATGAGTTTAGATTTTGTATAAGATGTGATATTTTGTGGGATTTGTCTACACTGTTATACAACGAGAAATTGAATGTACTGTGACCGCCATAGGCATAAAACTGATTGAATAATTGCTCACTTAATGAATCAATAAACTGCCGAAATTGTGGAGAAAACTGGTTCCAGTCTTTTTGTGTACGTTTACCATAATGCTGCTCTTGGTGGACACGATACCAAGGAGAAGAAGTAGTAACTCAGATGAACACAAGGTGGTGCTACTGGACAACTACAGGCTGTTTTTGCTGGATGAATGAAGAGAATACAAGGACAGTGACAGCTCCAGTAATTTCAGTTAACAACAATTAAACTCAGTTGTTATTATCAGTTAAGGTAAATATTGGAGGACCAGAGAACTGACTGTGACAGATAAACAGGTCCAGAGAGTGTCAGTGTCACAGGTATAATGAGTTTGTAGACCTGTAAACTGCGGCAGGAATTCAAAGAGTTGATTTAAAAGAAACAAAGACCAGACAGATGTTGTGCAGAGACGCAGGATGTGGCCACAATCCAAGTCATTCCAGAGTGTCAGTGAAACATAGAAGTCATATGACGCTCTGGATATGTTTGCAGCTTCTGTAACTGGCACAGATGGTGGCAGCAGAGAGACGCATGCAGAAGTGTGCAGACAGAAAGTAATTCCTTAATTCTCACTTTTATCCCACAGCCAGACGATGATCTGAAAACACCCACCAACCACAGTTTTTATTCCAGTATAAAACAGGAAGTGTTAGAATGGTTAAATCAGTCAGGGGTGTTGTAACAACAATAAAGAAACGCCCCGGGAAGAAAGCTTTTCTAAAGCAAATGTTTAGTTCTGTCAGTAGTCACAGATTTAATGGCATCATTGTATCGACAGCCTGTGCGATAGAGTTGTTTCACTTTTGTTTGCCATGAGATTCATCTGTTAGCAGAGTCAAGATCATCATTACTGTTTGTATGAAATAACAATTTATATGCATTTACATGTATAGAGTTATGAAGATCTCTGCTCCTTTTTGTCCTCCATGCAGTACAAACCAGTCCTGCAATTCAATTCAACTTTATCTATATATCACCAATTCACACCAACAGAGACATTATATTGTAAGGTAAAAGCCTAAAATGATAGAGATAATCAGATAACTCCCTATGAGCAATTACTTGGCAACAGTGGGAAGGAAAAACTCTCTTTTAGCAGGAAGAAGCCTCAGGCAGAAGCTTCTTCCTGCTCAGCGAGGGGAAAGCAGAGAGAGACTGAAGAGAGCGGGGAGAATGAATGTGTTTCTTAATGTAGAAACATCCGACTGTGCCCTGTATGCCATGGAAAGCATCGTAAATGAGCTATTATTTAAGGAGTTTAACAGTTTACCTTTCAGCGTCCACAAGGTCAGTGGCAACCCTTGAAGAATCAGGGTTAGGGTTTAGGGGAGGTTAATATCCCCTCTTTTTACAAAATCTTCACCCGTTTGAAAAATGGTAAACCTTCGAGGCCAAAATGAACGTATGATGCTTCATTTGAAAGACACATCTTTTATAGTTACACCCTCCCACTCACAAACCCTAAAGCTAACCCTGAACATGTTACTGCTACGCATGTCTCTCAGTAAAGGAAACAATGCATTTCCACCGGAAACTGAGGGAACTGTTTCACTCTGGGGACCTATGGCTCAGATTTTTTGTTGGAAGAAATATGAGTGTAAGAAGTCCACATATAATAATAAATAAACAAAAATATTATAATTATATTTCACCAATTACTGTTCTCCTTCAGATTTTCCAAAGTCATCCAGCGGGCCAGATTGGAGTCTTTGCGGACTGTTTGACACCACAGCACTAGAGAAAGCTCTAGCTTAACCTTTTAAGTCATATTTGACATTATGTAGTCTGTGTAGGACTACAGAAGAGAAGGAAGATACAACTAAACAGTTGAGACAAGATATTGGACGACCTGCACAACTCTGAAATTGATCATACATCGGATATCGTATCTGTGTTGTAGAGGCGAGAACACGCCGCAGCAGCTGTAACTTACTTTAATAAAAAATAACTATGTTAAACCTGTAATTAGTTCTTAATTTGTATATGAAATATTTGAGATGACATATTAAAATAAAATTATTTAATAGTTATTGCAAAATATATATTTCAAAAGAGCTCACGGTGACTTTCACACTGAGGAAGGTTCCTGCTGAAGGTCAACACTGACTCTGACATAGTTTTCCTGACAGTAAAAAAGCATCTGGGCTCAAATGGATTAACTATGATTTGTTTCTTCTTCCAGTTCTATACGCCATTTAATGTCATCATCTGCATCATGTATGGGTTGTTTTTGAGGAATGTTGCTTTGAATCCTACAGGCATGCCTGCACAGCCTCCTGTAACGACAGTCACATGAGAATTCCGTCGACCCTCCAGGAAGAACCACAACAACTTTTAGACGTTTCTGTCCTCACAGAAAACGGATCTCGGATGAGACAAAACGGATCAGATCTGTCATTATCATGAGGGCGGTGCTTTCGACAGCCAATCAACGTGATTTTCACTACAAGCTCGCTGGCACAGCAGTGGAGGACGCCTCGGCTGTAGTGATGGGATTTCCGGCTCTTTTTAGAGATCCGGCTCTTTCGGTTCGACTCACTAAAAAGAGCCGGCTCTTTCGGCTCCGAACCGGCTCTTCGGGTTGTTTTGTTGCTTTAATTAATTTATTATTAACAATAATATAAAATGATGCACAAAAGGAATTACTAACGTAAAAAAAAGTGGTTTTATTTATATATGTTTATATATAAATATATGCAGTGGCCCCTAGAGACAAAGCACGTACAAACTCCAAAACACATTTCTAGCATGAACTGAACTTCCAAAGCAGAGCTACTAGATCACTTAAATTACACAACTGAAAGCACATGTGTGCATTGTTTGTGTATTTATACACAGGCACTCATATATATTCAAATAATTTAAAAAAAAAAAAAGTTCATTTACCTGTTACTACCACACACCAAATCTGGTCGTTGGTACTTCCTGGCTTGTGTAGCCACTAGGTAACAAAAGCTCAACACTGCGCCTAGCATCCTGGAGCACTTCTGTTGTGTTTTGTACGTGTTTTGGAGTTTTTACGTGTTTTGGAGTTTTTACGTGTTTTGGAGTTTGTACGTGTTTTGGAGTTTGTACGTGTTTCGGAGTTCGTACTTGATTTGAAGTTTGTATGTGCTTTGTCTCTAGGGGCCACCGTAAATATACTTTTATTTATTCACTCCACATAAAATGCAATAAATAAATCATATAATACAAAAATCAACTATTCACATTTTCAGCTTTTTCCTTTTACAAATTTAAAGTGAAAACAACACAAAACACTGCAAGCCACAACACAATTAAATATAAATTATAATATGAAAACAAAAAGAACATGCATATTCTCTGTCATATGGGCCTGCATGAATAAACTTTCTGAATCCTTTATCACCTGCAACCGAAAATAGTTGTGGATGATTACTATACCTTTCTAATGTTGTTGTCCCTGCCTCTCTTTCTCTCTCTCTGGCTCTGTTCCTGTGCTACTGAGTGTAACTACCGCCCCTCCCCCCTCTGCCCAGCGTAAAGCACAAGGCTGGCGTGCAGAGTGAAGCGGAAAAAAAGTGCGAGAGAGAGGCTGAGAGAAAGAAAAAAAAAATACAACCCACGTGACGGCTCACGTCGTTCACGTCAAAGAGTCGGCTCTAAGAGCCATTTCGTTCGCGAACGACCCATCACTACTCGGCTGAGTGCTCGCACTCTGTTTACTTTGTCGGCTGGCAGTGTGTTCAGTTCAGTGTGAAGGAGCCGGCTCTGTAGATATGAGCAGCTGGCAGCTGTGAAGCCTCTCAGGACTTCCGTCTGCTCAGACGTGTTAACGATGCTGCTGGACGAGCGGATCTGGTTGCTGTTTAAGCGCCACTGGCCACAGACTCTCACCTACTGGAGCGTGTTCTTCAGCTTCGGCCTGTGCATCGCCTTCCTGGGACCCACTATCCTGGACCTGAGGTGTCAGACCCAGTCGACCCTGCAGCAGATCACCTGGGTGTTTGTCTCTCAGCAGTTCTTTCTGCTGGTGGGCAGCAGCGTGGGAGGACTGTTTAAGAAAACGTGAGTCTGGTTAGTGAACACAGGGTGTTTTCACGAGGTCTAGCTTCACATGTAAAACACCTCACCGCTCACTGTGTTTCATCCAGTGCGTCCTCTGCCAGTCATCGATGCTTTGACTTGTGTTTGTTATCAGAGCTCAGCTGTGAAAGCTGTGAATCCTCTCTCACTCTGCATGTGTGATGGGTTAGACACAAGCCCACTGGGACGGTTTCTAACAGGGTCCATGTGAACCCACACCCAAGGAGTGTGTAGGATAACATAGTTTACATGTCAGTGATGAACTTTATAATAAACAAAGGATCATATACTTCACCTTTACAGGTCCCAGCTGTGCGGCAAAGGGAGTTACTATGAACTGTTTTCAATCTGTTCCACACATTTCCTAAAAGAACCTGGTTTGTACTAAAAGCATGATATGAATAAACTGCTGGCTGCAAAGCTGAAGCCACTGACGTCAGTGGTTATAGGAGAGGCTACTCGCTCAGGTGGGTCTGTTATCAGGGTTTCTGTGACTACAAGCACAACTGCCTGCAGGAGCCTTTCTAGATACCAAAACCACAATTGTTAAACTAGTTAATATGTCTTATTAGCCTTCTGTTACATGTTGAAAATACACTTATTCACAAGGGGGTGCCACAGTGGGTGGCGTGGCATGTTTGGATCTTCAGCTTGTTAAGTTTTAGGGAGCCACTTAACCATGAAAGCAGCTAAAAAAAAGTTAAAACTTTTTAAATAAGGAAAAGAGGACGAGTTTACCTGTTAAGTTTAAGTCAGTTACAGTGGGGCAAAAAAGTATTTAGTCAGCCACCGATTGTGCAAGTTCCCCCACTTAAAATGATGGCAGAGGTCAGTAATTTGCACCAGAGGTACACTTCAACTGTAAGAGACAGAATGTGAAAAAAAAATCCATGAATTCACATGGTAGGATTTGTAAATAATTTATTCATAAATTAGGGTGGAAAATAAGTATTTGGTCACCTCAAACAAGGAAAATCTCTGGCTCTCACAGACCTGTAACGTCTTCTGTAAGAAGCTTTTCTGTCCCCCACTCGTTACCTGTATGAATGGCACCTGTTTGAACTCATCATCTGTATAAAAGACACCTGTCCACAGCCTCAAACAGTCAGACTCCAAACTCCGCCATGGCCAAGACCAAAGAGCTTTTGAAGGACACCAGGAAAAGTATTGTAGACCTGCACCAGACTGGGAAGAGTGAATCTACAATAGGCAAGCAGCTTGGTGTGAAAAAATCAACTGTGGGAGCAATCATCAGAAAATGGAAGACATACAAGACCACTGATAATCTCCCTCGATCTGGGGCTCCACGCAAGATCTCATCCCGTGGGGTCAAAATGATCATGAGAACGGTGAGCAAAGATCCCAGAACCACACGGGGGGACCTGGTGAATGACCTTCAGAGAGCTGGGACCAAAGTAACAAAGGTCACCATCAGTAACACACTACAACGGCAGGGAATCAAATCCCGCAGTGCCAGACGTGTTCCGCTGCTGAAGCCAGTGCATGTCCAGGCCCATCTGAAGTTTGCCAGAGAGCACATGGATGATACAGCAGAGGATTGGGAGAATGTCATGTGGTCAGATGAAACCAAAGTAGAACTTTTTGGTATAAACTCAACTCGTCGTGTTTGGAGGAAGGAGAATACTGAGTTGCATCCCAAGAACACCATACCTACTGTGAAGCATGGGGGTGGAAACATCATGCTATGGGGCTGTTTTTCTGCCAAGGGGACAGGACGACTGATCCGTGTTAAGGACAGAATGAATGGGGCCATGTATCGTGAGATTTTGAGCCAAAACCTCCTTCCATCAGTGAGAACTTTGAAGATGAAACGAGGCTGGGTCTTCCAACATGACAATGATCCAAAACACACCGCCCGGGCAACAAAGGAGTGGCTCCGTAAGAAGCATTTGAAAGTCCTGGAGTGGCCTAGCCAGTCTCCAGACCTCAACCCCATAGAAAATCTGTGGCGGGAGTTGAAAGTCCGTGTTGCTCGGCGACAGCCCCAAAACATCACTGCTCTCGAGAAGATCTGCATGGAGGAATGGGCCAAAATACCAGCTACTGTGTGTGCAAACCTGGTAAAGACCTATAGTAAACGTTTGACCTCTGTTATTGCAACAAAGGTTATGTTACAAAGTATTGAGTTGTATTTTTGTTATTGACCAAATACTTATTTTCCACCCTGATTTACAAATAAATTCTTTACAAATCCTACCATGTGGATTCATGGATTTTTCTTTCACATTCTGTCTCTCACAGTTGAAGTGTACCTCTGGTGCAAATTACTGACCTTTGTCTTCATTTTAGGTGGGGGAACTTGCACAATCGGTGGCTGACTAAATACTTTTTTGCCCCACTGTATGTCACTTATGTCCTCTAATTCACCTGCGTCTTCTAATTACAGGACTTACCTGCAGTGATATCAGCGTTCTTGTTCTGGCAGAATAACTGGTTCTCACATTTGAGCAGGACAGTGGTTTAGAGTTTCACAGAGTACAGAGCCAAATACAGTAACTAACCCTGTGGGTAACAAAGACGTGCCTTTGCTGATATCTCTGCTACCTTTAAAGCTTGCTTTTTGGCCCTAAAACAGAATAAAGTTACATTGTAAATAAACACATTCAAACGAGAGTTCAGGTTTATGAATGCACAGATAAAATAACTGAGCAGATGAATTATTACACCAAATGGGATTTTTTTTTTTCTTTTCTTTTTTTCTTTTTAGTGACTGAAGTTGAGAGTGGTCTTGATGGACGGCTCAGTATGAAATGTTTTGTTCCTGATTAACAATAGTGTTGAAATAATTTTGCAGCTAGACTTTCACCTGTGACAGTTGGACTGAATATTGTATTTGACTGGCAGATCTGTGGCATGCAAATGACAGAGTTTTGGTTCACATCTCTGTTTGAAATTTCCAGCCACTGAGCAGGAATGACAGATTGTGTGAAATGGAAATCTACATGTGTTGGGACACAATGAACATACAGTATGATGCCAAACACATTCACTCGTCTGTGACATCCCATTCTTAATCCATAGAGCTTAATATGATGTCGGCCGCTGTTTGCAGCTATAACAGCTTCACCAAGGTTTAGTTTTTGCGGGAATTTCTGACCATTTTTCCAGAATCACACTTGTGGGGCCAGACACTGATTCTCTAACTCATCCCAAACGTGTTCTGTCAGGTTGATTTGAGGCCAGTTAAGTTCTTCCACATCAAACTAACTCGTCTGTGTCTTTATGGACCTTGCTTTGTGCAGTGGTGCACAGTCATGTTTGAACAGGGAGGAGCCATCTCCAAACCGTTCCCACAAACTTGGGAGTATATAATTGTCCAAAAATTGTCCAAAATGTCTTGGTATGCTGAAGCATTAGGAGTTCCTTTCACTGAATGTTGGGTTTTTTGGTTAATGGGAAAAAGCCTTTGGAACCTTGGAACGTTCCCATGGAAGCCCAGTCTCTTTCTTATTGTTAAATCATCAAAACTGACCTTAACTGAGACAAGTGAGACTTTTGAGACATCCTGGCTGAGTTGTTCTTGATGTTTCTTTGTGCAATGATGTGTTGCTTTTAGAGATCTTTCAGCTTACTTCACTTAATACATGCATACATTTTCTACTTCAGTGAGCAGGTCTGGCAGTACTCAGGATTGTGTGGCTGTTGAACCAGAGATTAGCTTTCCAAAAAATGTAGTTAATCACAGTTAATTTATGATTGAATAAGGAGGGAACTATTAATATAAAATAATATTTACTAAAATAAATCATCATTTAAAAAACTGATTTTCTATTTACTTGGGTTATTTTTAAGATAATTAAATTTGTTTCGTGATCTGAAACGTGTGAGGAAAAAGAGGAAAAACAGAAACTAGGAAGTGGGTAAATACTTTTTCACAGCGCAGTTTCAGCCTGGTACCTATCATACGGGCATGTGGAATTCTCTAAATACTGAGGAAAGGTGCTTTTTTTTCTTCACTCCTTTACCAAAGACACGCTGGACCATCCATTACGAACAGAGAGGACATAATGCTGCCGCATTCATACAAACAAACAACATAATTAATAAGTGACTTTGGTCATTATGTACATTGCTGTGTTCTCCCCTGTTACTGTTACTTGCCAATATGCTGTTAGGTGTTGAACTTTCATCAGTTTGAAGTGTATAGTTCACTTATAGATTTAACAAACTTGAAGCACTTTACAAAAGCTTTGGTGCTATAGTTAATGACCTACAGTACTGTATGTTTAAATAATCCATAAGAATTTTGGCACATTGCAAAAAGCAGTTGGAAAAATAGGCACGCATAAGGTCAAATTGTTATGCCTAAATGACTGGGTCAGAGCATCTCCAAAACTGTAACTCTTGTGGGGTTTTCCCAGTCTCTATGAAAGGGAGTCCACGGAAGGAACAGTGGTGAACCAGAGACTGAGTCATGGTTGGCCAAGTCTCAGTGATGCATGTTAGCGGTTGGCCTATGTGGTCAGATACAAGAGAAGCGCTGACCCCTGTCCACTGCCGAATGCTTACATAACCCTAACCCAGGCACCAGGATGCACTGTAGAAAGAAGTCAAGCCGCTAGAAAGGTAATGTCAATGTTCTGCTGGGAAACCTTGGGTCCTGCCATCCATGTGGAGTTTACTTGTACCACCTAGCTAAGCATTGTCGAGGACCACGCCCACCACGATTCATGGGTGTATTCATGGGGTTTTCCCTGATGGCTGTGGCCTCTTTCAGCAGAATAATGCACCCTGCCACAAAGACAAAATGATTCAGGAACAGTGAGTTTGAAATGTTCAGCTGTGATCCAGCTTCAGCTTCTGAAAACGGGCCTGTTTGGCATGTGGCTAAAGCAAAGTCAAGTGGCTGTTAAGAGGTTAAACAGCCAACCATGTTTCTTGGACATTTGTTTTTTTAACCATTATCTTTTAGTGCACCTACACTGTTTTATCATTATCACTGTTGAGAAAGCTCCTTTATCTTTATCGTGTCTGCTGCTCACCTTGCACACCTGCGTAGGTGAATTCATTTCCCAAAAGCTAATCCTGGATGTGTTTGTGTGCACTTTGGAAGCCTTAAACAGTACATTTATATCATTTAAAGTGGAAGCCTTTACAAACTCAGCAGGTGTGATTCATTATTTTTGCTGCTGACTTTTCACCCTCCGGTGGTTTTTGTGAATGTCCCTGTAGCTAACAGAGGATTATCTGGGACAAGCTGAAAGAGAAGAAGGGGAATGTAAGGTGAAGATAAGATGTAGGTTTGCTGAATGTGTGTGTGTGTGTGTGTTTGGGGGGGGGTGGCTGTGATAATTTTGGCTAGGTAAATAAGTTTTAAGCGACAGACCATCAAGGTGACTTTACTGCAGCAGTAAGTAGGTGTGAATGTAGGCGGAGGATTATTGTTGGTATTTTCCTTTAGTTTTAGGTTAGTAGAGCATAGGAAGTTTATTTATTCAAACAAAACTCTATCATGTGTACACAGGATGTGTATTCTATCCTCTTTTTTTTTTTTAGCCTTAAGTCCTCGCTCTTAGCCCTCTTCAGCTGCACCCTCATCATCTCGCTGGTGTTTGCCGTCATACCACTATGTCACCACGTCATACTGCTGTCCATCGCCATGGCGCTGGCTGGCAAAGCCATGGGCGTGATCGACACCATCGCCAACCTGCAGCTAGTGAAGCTGTACCAGAAGGACTCTGCCATCTTCCTGCAGGTCACTAAGATGTTGATGTGTCTGTGTGTTTGTGTCGGTGCAGTTAAAAAGCTGCTGTCGGTCAATTTGGGGAAAAAAAAAAGAAAATCACTCTTTGACATAGCCTTGTTGAAAAAAGTAAGGGGAGTAACTGAGAATAATGGTGCCTTAATGAGCATTTTTATTTAGTCAAACAGTCACATGGTTTTGTGTCTGGATTTTCATGGATTTTATAGGTTACTCATTTGTTTACTGTTTGGATTCCTTTCATTGGGCTCATTAGGAGGCCAAACTAGGTTAAAAGGAGAGTGAATGTGTGACTTACATTCATCGTGCCAACAGAAACCAGGCGCCTGCACAGTCAGGTGAAAATCCTGTTTGCTTGTCATTGCAAATGACCCCTTATCACGCTGCCCTTGACACACCACACTAAGCCTGCACGATTATGGCAAGAATGATTATCACAATTATTTTGTTCAGTCTTGAAATTACTTTTATTTGTAGTGATTATTAAAGAGACAAAGTGTCTTTTTATTGCACTGTCATATAAATTGAATACTGCTTTCACATCTCAACGTCTGTATAAATCTTAGCACAAATATAACATCTCTTCATTATTGAGCTGAGCATCTCTTAGAAGAAAAGTAGAAAATACATGTAAGAAAAACAGAACACACCAAAATGTAGCACAAAATTAATTCAGAAGGACACTTTCACTTCATTTCACCTTTACGTTGTGCTACATTATGCTAATAAATTAGTCTTTGCAGACAAATAATATAAAGTCTGTAATTCCGTCCTGTCTCTGATGCCGTGTATTTGTTCAGACTATTCCAAGAAACTTCAAGCTGTGTGGTTCAGGGAACAGCTGTGATAATTGGTCAGCGGCTGATTTGGTCAACAGAGCATGCTTTTTAAATATCGCTTGATCGTGCTCATATGATTGTTGGAAACCAAAATTGTGATTGAGTTTAAAATTGTATTAATTGTACAGATCTGGCTGATAGAATAGAATTCAACTTTATTGTCATTGCACATGCACAGGTACAGGGCAACGAAATGCAGTTTAGTACAATGCCAGCTAAAATAAATGAATAAGTACATGCAGGGCTGGAGGAGGGTGCAATATTTTAAAAAGTAAAAACAAAACTTTTTTTTAATCTTGAAAGTTCTGACTCCTAGACTGCTAGATCCTCTTAATTTGAATAACGGAGGCTGCTGTTCGTGTCTCTTGCTAGGCCTTGCATTTCTTCACAGGCCTTGGGGCACTGGTCAGTCCCCTGGTGGCCGATCCCTTCCTGGCTGAGGACAGCTGTGTGCTGGGAGCTAACTTGACCACCAACTCATCCTCTCCCAGGAACCTACAGCATCTCCGCAGCACCCTCGCTGGCCATGGAGCAGCACTGCACACCATCTCTCACTTTCGTCTGTATACTGACGGGGTTGTCGTCACCAGGGTGTCGTATGCTTTCTGGATCATGGCTCTTATCAATGTGAGTTCAATGTGATGATCCTTGATTTCTTAATTTTTGTATATTTTTCACACTTAAATGTTTCAGATTATCAAACCAATGTAAATATTAGGCAATGATAACCCGAGAAAATACAACAGAGTTTTTAAGTGATGATTAAATACATTTTTTGGAAAGAAGGTCAATTTCTCTTACAGTAACCAGGCTTAATTACTTCCAGACCCACTGAATCAAAAAAATCCCCCTCTGGACTGATGAGATAAAAGCTGAACTTTCTGGAAGCTTTGAGTCCCTAAAACTAACACAGCATTTCATAAAAAGAACATCATACCAGCAGTCAAACATGGTGCTGGTCTAGGCCTGCTTTGCTGCTTCAGAACATGGATGACTTGCTGTAATTGGTGGAACCATGAATTCTGCCCTTCGTTTGCGAGGTGCGCCTGCTGCTTAACGGCACAGAGAGGAGAGGGCGGGGCGGCGAGGGAGTCTCTGACCGGCTGGAGCGGCATCTAATAACCAACTCGCAAAATAAAATAAAAATAAAAACAAACCAACAAACACGAAAACACCAGACATTATAATACAGACTTATAATTTGCACCGATGTTTTTTCGAAATTCTGTAAACGAAAAGTGAGCGCGAGAGCCCTCGGTGCGCCTGCTCGCTGCTGAAGTCAAAGTAAACTTTATTGTCATCTCCGCTACAGTCCAGTATATAGAGAGACGAGACGGCGAGGCTCCAGTTACAGCAGTGCAAGTAAACAATGTATATAAGAAGAGTAAGAAAATAAATATACACTTTAGGATTAAGGATAAAGGGATCAATAACAATTTAAAATTTGATGATTTGGGGGGGGGCGCCAGAGGGAGTGTTCGCCCAGGGCGCCAAACAGGCTAGGACCGCCACTGCCTGAAATGATTTTCCAACAGTCTTGAAGGAGTTCCCAGAGATGCTGAGCACTTGTTGGCCTGTTTGCCTTCACTCTGTGGTCCATCTCATCCCAAACCATCTCAATTGGGTTTAGGTCAGGTGACTGTGGAGGCCAGGCCATCTGGTCTGATCTGGGGTCATTGTCCTGTTGATTGGTTCTTGCCATAATATGAATTCTAAGGTCGGGGGGGGGGTCCCATTTCACTGCAGGGCAACCTGCATGTGACGAATAAAGCTTTGATTGATTGATAACAGTTGTCAAATAGAGCTGTCAGCTGTGTACCAACCTGACTTCTAGATAATAGAACTGATGCTCCCAACCCCATTAAGAAAGCTTGAAATTCCAGAAATGAACCGTGACAAGGCACACCTGTCGTGATAACCATTTCAGGTGACTATATCATGATGTCACTGAGAGAAGGCCAACGGTTTGGAGCACTGTCAACAAAGCAATCTTCAACAATCTTAAACCATAATACATAGTGTTACTGATCAATTTTTTTCTTTGCTAGATAATTCCATGTATCTTGCTTCATATATTTGATGTCTTCATTTTGTATCACAATGTAGAAAGTAGTAAAAATAAAGAATAACCATTAAATGAGAAGGCGTGTCCAGACTTTTGACCGCTAGTGTACATGTGATGAATATGCAAAAAAAAAAGTCATGAAGGGGCACATACTTTCCCATGGTACAGGACATGATGTGAATAATGCAAACACATAGTTACATAATACATGATCTTGAAAGTTAATCTAAGCTGTCTGTTGTGTGTTGTGAATAGGATCCTCTTATGAATAGAACACTGGTCAGGTGTGGTTCTGAATGAACAAAGAGCCCCTGTTTGACATGTTTGCCTCATTGTTAGTAGAGTAGTCAAACATGCTACTAGAACAGTGTAAGAAATATAATCAGCTTTCTCTTAAACACTGAATTTGTGTGTAAGTTTGTACCTAAGTTAAATGTTTAGCTTGGTCGAGTAATTAGCTCGGGGTGCTGGCGGCGAAGAAACAAAACAATCTGCACGGATTTTTAGCGTAGTTTTCTTCCCCATAATGAAATCACTGATGTATCCCATGACTAGATTTCCCGAGTAGTGCTGAACAATTTCACATGAAAATGGCTCAAATGGAAGTTAATGATATAATGACATTTCCAGATAGCACTGCTGCTCCTCAGAGTTGCCTAAACCTCTTGTTTACAGTTTATCTGGGTTAGAAGTAACAGAAGTTCAGATGAAGTAAACAGACTTCCCCATCACTGCGTGCAGCATTTTCAGAGTGTGCTGGATCAGTTTCAAGCTGACGACAAGAAAAGAAGATTGTATGTTTGTGAGAACCTCTTCTCACAAACATACAAACAGGAAGTGTTATCTCTTCATTTGGTGAACAACGTTCTCATTGTGTGTCTGTGTGTTTGTGTGTGTTTTGACAGCTCCCTGTCCCAGCGGCAGTGCTCGCATTGATGTCCCATGAGCGATTGCTGCCTTGCTCCAGAAGCAGTCCACGTCTGCTTGATGCAGACTCCAACAGGAGCCCCACGGGGGACACGGACCAAGGTAGTGCACACGTGTTTGTGTGTCTGTGTGACAACTTTGCTGAGATGAAAGTGCAGACCTCTGAGTGTGACTGTCTCCCCAGAACATGGGAGTGTTTTTAGCTGCTGTAACCCTGCCAAACTCCGGGATCGCTCTGCTACTTTCTTCATCATCCACGCTCTAGGAGGAGCTATCCTCTTTATCACAGATGGGATTATAGTAAGGCTTCCAGCTAACACCACACACAATTACACATGAACCCAAGTAAAATGGGAACAATCCAAGAATAACCTTTTACACACAAAACAGGATCGTGATATGTGAGAGCTTCAGTGCTTTTGGCTTTGCTGTATTAAAACATCATCTAATCGACTAAGACTCTGCTTAGGAGCAACACAGAGCAGTACATCGATGTGCCGTCACCGTTAAAATAGAAAGTTTGCACTTGTGACATCATGACTGTTTATTACACTGTGTTATATATTATATTGCACCCGTGTTATATTTATAGAAGCAATATCCTGGGAAGGGATATTGCTTCTATAAATGTGGTAAGAAATCATACAAAAAGAGCACCTTTACACGTCATTATTAGAGTGACCGGCTGAAGGCTGTCTGTGAATCCAGTGTAAACAGGCAATATAAAGCTTTAAGAACAAGGCTCAGATATTATGGTGCCTTATTTGATCTGATTATATGTTACCAATGAGAACAGGGAAAAAAGTGAGCGACAAAGTTTGTTCCTGGGCCTGATCTAACTGACCTCCGGCCGGGTTTCTGGTCCTGCAGGGCTCTTATGCTGGCTTCGTCTACACCTACGCCGTCTCCCCTCCTCTGCTGATGGGCCATAAGATGGCAGGCTGTCTGGACAGCATATTCTGGGCCGCGATCACCGTGGGAAGACTGGCTTCAATGTACTTGTCCTACAGATACACGGCACCCAAGCTGCTCACCGTCAGTCTGGTATGGACACGTGTCTGAAGGACAAACCTGCATGAACAGAGATATCACAGGGCAGGAAAAGCAGAAGTGACCATCAGGGGTCAGGCTTTATTCCTCTTAAAGCTATAAGACGTTTGTCTTACGACAGTTCAAACCAAATATTTGAACAGGGTGGGAATGCAGCCACCGAGAAGAGGATTGTTGTCTGAGTGGGTACACACAGTGTGTCTGAGCTAACCTGGTTCAGTCTCACTTTACCACATCAGTCTCATTCATTCCACTCAGTTTCGGCATTGTAGTGTCTCTGTGGACAAGCAGTCCATTACAAACGTATAAATGCCGTCCTGCTTGCTCTCATAAGTAAGGATTGTTATTATCAGTTTTCTGCAGTGTTAGCCTGAACATAAAGTTTGCCTTTCTCATGCAAACAGTGTTACTGGTGTTTTTTTGTCTTTATTAATTTTGTTAAACAACAACAAAATTGTATGAAATGCAAAAAAACAAATTTTCTACAGTTTCCTGGAGCCCGATGTGATTTTAAATGATCGTGTTTACAGGTTTTAACCTGTAATGGTTTCTAGTTTTGTTCGTCACAACAGGCTCTCTGTTATGTGTTGAATATCTCAGCTGGTCAAGTGTTAGACTGAAGCCGACTTTGGTTCTTTGCTGGGTTTTGGCAGCACTTAGTTCCCTTTTAACCTTTAGCAGGACTTTCCAGTGTTAGTCTAAGCTTTCAAATCCAGTCATCTGTTATTTCCACTTTACAACAGTATGTGTACATTTCCATCAACGTCTGTGCATCACCTCTCTGTTGTTCTTTCTGTTTATGTATATTTTATATTTAGTGTGTGTGTGTGCATGTGTGTGTGTGTGTGTGTGTGTGGGTGTGTGTTTCTCAGGTGGGAGTCATACTGGTTCAGTGCCTGCTGTTAATCTTCTACACCAGCTCTGTGTTTCTGTTCTTTGGCACCTGTGTGTTGGGCCTGTGCATCAGCAGTGTGTTCCCCTCTGTGTTAGCCTTCACAGAGGACATATTAGAATACAAAGGTACACACGCATCGTCAGTGCCTCACAGGAGTACAGCCATCAAACAGTCATTGTTAATATTAGGCTAAGATAACCCGACGATTTCATTTATTAAAGGGAAAAGGCTTCCCAACCCTACCTGGCCCGGTATAAAAAAGTAACCTCCCCAACAGAGAGTGGCTTATGAAATTAAATTCAGTTTGTTTTGCCATAGTCTGGCCTGATTACTGCCAGACCTGTTGAATCAAAAAATAGAATCTGACCAAGTGAAGTTCTCATAGAGCAACACTTCATGCCAAAATGTAAAGAATCTCAAGAAGAGAAACAAAATCAGTCTAGAAAGGTCTTTTCTATGACTTTGAGAGAGCTAATTTCCAAAAATGGATATAATGTTGAACAGTGGTGAACCTTCACAGGAGGAAAAAATAACTCCTATCAAAATAAGAGCGCACTCGTGGCTTATTCAGGTCACAAAGGAACGCAGACAAACACGTAAAGAACAGTTAAGGTCAGCGTTCATACAGTTTGCTCACTGAAGTATTTTCATTTGTAATATTTCTGTCTTTGTTAGGATTTGTAGAAAAAGAAAACAACGGTCAGAAAGAGGACAAATACTTTTTCACTGCACCAGCGTGCATACTGCATTTGCTGCATAAGTAACCTTATATATTGTAAACCAGTAGGAAATGAGTAAAATCATTCCTGATGACACTCAGTTACAGAAAAGTTAACAGTGAAAGTGTAAAACAGAATAACTTGTTTGCAAAACATATAAATACAATATTGGATGAAGAGCAGATCAAACTGTGGGCATGGAAACATGTGCTCACTTTGAATTTCATGCCACAAAGGCAGCAGAAGGAGAGATTTATAATACATGAAATTAAAACTATCACATAAAAATGTAGCATTTTTACATGTAAAAATAAAATATTGATGTTCTGTTTATAATTCGCATCATAAATAACTGTGTTTCTACAGTTCTGTTGAGGGTTTTTCCCCACATTCCTGCACTTGAGTGTAATAATTTCCCCCAAAACAGACAAAGATTGTTTAAATATACATGTTTGTCTTCAAGTATGATTTATTATTAGTTCTTAATGATCAGATCTTACTGATTAATTTATACTTTCATTAGTTTTTACAATTTTTATGTCATCCAGTTTTTATTATAATATTCAAATTAATTAAAATTTCTCGATATATTTTACATCAAGTGTTTAATATAAACAGAAACCCTGCTCTCCATGTAACACACACATATGATCATAATCTAACACATTTGTTCATTTGTTTGATTATTAATTATTATAACTTAATAATAAGCATTGATTTTTTTTGTTAATTAATTGCCTCATGTACACTTTTACAGCGTGCAACTTTTGTCCCATAGCTGTAGATTATTCCTGTGTGCTTATTGTGTGTTACAGGCTGTGCCACAACAGTGCTGGTAACGAGTGCCAGCACGGGGGAGATGCTGCTTCAGCTGCTTGTTGGATCGGTAAGAAAGGATTCGAGACTCTTCTGTCTTCCTGAACATTTTTATAAAGCATTCGCTTTCACAAAATGCTTTTACATTCAGTGTTTTATATGAATTTCTCGTTTCTTTCTGAAACATTTAAATAAGTGTAATATAATAGTGCATGTCCCCTCACTGGGGAACAGGCTTTCAGGTCACTACTGAGCATTTGTGCAGTGACTGTAGCCTGCTGTGTCTGCATGAATTAGGCTAAAGTGCCTCAATAACGTTGCTTAGTGGCTTCCCAGGGTTGACCACTGAGATCTTTGCGATTTGGAACTCAATGTGTGTTTATGTGTCCTGCAGGTGATCCACAGTCAGGGCAGCTACTCCTTCCTGCTGTGCGGTACAGTAGCATCCTTTATCGGCTTCTGCCTGTTCCTGCTGCTCCTCTATATCCAGAATATCCACAGAAGCCAGCACACAGGTAAATACATGCAGAAAGACTAAATGATTTGCCAAAACACTGGTGATGCAAAAGGCAGCCTCATGTGGCCATTAGAGGAACTGCAATTTTGGCACTTGCGCTTCAGTCACATTTTCTGCCCTGGAGGTTGCTGCCTGGACTTGTTTGGACTAATTCTGACGTTTCATTCTGGTTCTATCTGCGCTCACAGGTAGCAAACCAACAATCAAACCTCCTTTTTCATAGATTTTTTTCACCTTGACAATATCGCATCCAATGTGACGTGTCAGCCTGTGGATGTCTTTTTTTTTTCTCCTGTTTTCCTTTAGTAACCAACTCTTTTACCTCTCAGATTTGTCTCAATGCACAGACATGAAAGAGAAGCCAAAGACCGGAGACTCGTGACACACTGGAACCCAGAGAACAGAGGATACAGCAAAGGGAGAAATACTTCAGGAGAAGCTGACACTTCTTCCCCCGGGTGGAGGGTTCACAATCACACTCCTGCGTCATGGAAATCACATGCTGAATAATTATTTGCACCCTACTTTCACAGCCTGATGATCAACAAACGGCTCAATGGATGATTAGAGTGTACACAATCATCTCTTTGAGCACATTAAACTGTGCGTTGATTAAATACGACCTCTTCAGTATGAATGTGAATGGACTCTTATAATAGGACTCGTTCGGTGGTGGAAAATAAAGATAAGATGCAGTCGGTTAGAGATCTTTTATTATTGGTTTCTCCTACTGCAATTCTTCTTATATCAACTCTTCCTCACACATCAATACGCAATACAGTCAATCCTGTGTGTGCATGTAAAGTGAGTCACTAATGGAGATTATCAGTCATCAAAAGTGGTTTTGGATGGGGCCAGACTGCAGGCCTTTCTCTGAAGTGTTTCACTTTTGAACTGGTAGATGTTACGAGCAAAGAGTTTCAATTCACTTTCACTTATATAGAACCAAATCACAACAACAGTCACCTCAAGCACTTCATAAGGTAAAGATCCTACAATAAAATAGATGGTAATCAAGTTCTTATATAGTGCTTTGCTATTCTACCTGAACAATCCAAGCACTTTATACATCATGTCTCATTCACCTAAGTGCTTTTCTTCCCTATGCTTAAGTACTTATAAGTAGTATATCCAACATTTACACACTGATGGATGCAAGCTTCTGTTTAGTAGATGACCTCTTGAGCTACAGCCACACCAGACAACAAGCAAAGTGTCAGATACCAAAAGATCTTATCTTTCAATTCAAGTGTCTTATATAGACTATATGTTATGCATATTCGACTTAACGGTTCTTTTATTCTAGAAGTTTAAATTTGGTTTTGCCATATGTCATTTGAAAGGGTACTAAGTGGTGCTGTAAAGACGATTCCCACGTCTGGTAGGCCTTCAAAAGAATCCTGAGGGAGGCTGGGGAGCTCAAGTGTACCATGTTCAACATACCATTTATATTAAAATGGTTACCTGTGGTAAAACGACTCAGTATCCCAACACCTTCCATAGTTACACCTCTTTCATAGCGTGCGGCTCATAAAAATCGGTAATCCATTATCTCAGATTATTAGAATATTTTCCAAGGTCAAGCAGAAAAGTATTTACAGAAATATCTGAAAAGTATGCTCATTTAAATACTGACTGTATTGATGGAGTTCATTAGCTTGTGGGACTGCTGAGGTGTTATTAAAGCCTAGGTTGCTTTGATAGCGGTCTTCAGCTCATCTGTAGTTTGAGGTTGGGTGGTTCTTGTCTTTTTTTTCAACATGTGGAGTTCATGTGTGAGCGAGTTGGCTGGCCAGTGGGAATATGGCCAGAAAATCATTTGGTAAAGTTCTTCTGAAAAGCTAAAGTCCATCTCCATATAGCTTGTCAACAGATTAAAGCATGAAGTGTTCTGAAATGACATGGCAAAGTTTGGCTTTTGACTTTATAATAGTGGACCGACCACCACAAATACCAGCAAAGGACATGGTGCAAGAGTCATCACAGGCTTTACACTAGACTTCAAACACCTTGGACTTACTGCCTCTCCACTCTTCCTCCAGGATTTTCAAATGAAGTACAAAATTTGCTTTAATCTGAAAAGAGGACCGGATCACAGAACAAAAGTCCAGTTTGTTGCGTCCTTAGCACAGCTCAGAAGCTTCTCACACTTCATTCAGGAGCGACCTGAGGTGGCTGTAGCTCAGGAGACAGCGCAGGTCATCTGTTAATTAGAAGGTTGGTGGTTTGATCCCTGGCTGTTTCAGTCTGCATGCCAAAACACCTTTGGGCACATTAAATTCTTAATATTTGAGAGTTTATTAAGGTTCATTCTTAAAGTCTTTCAAGAGTTTTCAGTCAAGACGCTTTCACTGTTTGAACTGGACAGATCAATGTGGTAACTTAAGCACATAACCTAGTCTGGAACAACTTGTATTCAAAGTGGTGATGTAGACAATGTAGCAATGTTTTCAAGCTTGATGCTGATGCTGCTGGACTACAGCACTACTGGAATTACAACAGAGAATCGATGTATTTAGAGGCTATTCCTGATCATTTACGGTCAATAAAATTAAATTCACTTTTTCTGAGTCTGAATACGTTTAGAAAGTGAAATTCATTTAAAAGTGAAACTGATTTGTGTGAGTGTATGCGCGTGTTTGTTTCCTGGCGGACATTAAAGAAGCAGTCAGTTAGAGATCTTTTATTATTGGTCTCACCTAACTCTTTTGATATAAACACTTCCTCGCACATCAATACGCCACTTAAGACAAGCAGCTTGTAAACATTTGAAAAAAGCATCAAACAGTTGGAGAACTGGACAATACAAAGCAAGAAGGGGCTCAATTTGTCCAAAACAAGATTTTACATTTGAAGGAAAAGTCAAGGGGGGAAAAAATAAAATAAAATCAGAATACAAAAACAAATATGTCGATGAATAAAAGGCCAAGAGGAAATTTTAAATGGAGTTGAGGTTGAGGTCACATTCCAGCTATTTCATAGTTTTTTTTCATTAAAGTTACTGCAAAAATATGCAATATAGCTTACCAATTCTATTGGGTATAAAGTCATACAAATAAATATTAAGTGGCAGTGCCTGATTACAAATTATTGTAAATTTATTTGATACACGGTAAAAGATTAAACTCTTGTTTGCCATATAAAATACCAAGTGCATAATTGTTTCCTCCCTTTGGGAAAATAGACATTTCTCAGTAAGCAAACAACATTTCAAAGAGCAACTCTGAGGCATAGAAAAGTGACAGAATCCAATACTACAGGAACCCCAAAGATTTAAGTGCAAACGTTTCATCACAACATCTGCATTTACAATATCAGCACTATTATCAAAACACATAACATAGAAAATGCAGATTTAGATTTATCCCATAAGGCTTTGATTCCCTACAAAACAAAACAAAAATGGCCAACATCGCCACGGGGCCGTCGTTGCCACCTCCTCCTAAATCCACAAGAGGAAACACATGCACAGAGAGAACATTAAATCAGAAAACCCAACATAGGAGACATCTAACTACTTGGCCATTACAAAAATAGAAATTAATCTTAAAATTCTATTTGTGTTACAGGAAAATAAAGAAGATTACACACAAACAAAAGCTTAAACAGGTCTTCTATATATATTCATATACTTTCTGAGTAGAACATTGAGAAGCAGGCTGGAAACAGACATGGCTGCCAACTTTAATACACTGCCTGATTACATTTTACATGCTGTGCATGTTGCTGTCCGTATGTACAGTAAAGCATCCAGAAGGTCACTGCGGCACATTTGAGCTGCAGTGTGCTTGTGCACAAAACATCCCTGGTGAAGTTTTACTCCAAACTTCCGGGGTTTGGTCTAAGATATGGCATAAAAGCGAAGAGGAGAGCTGTGGTATACTGTTCCATCGCTTTACCTCCATCCAGTATCGGGAGAGACGTGGGCGCGGCTGTGGTAAGGCACCATATATCACTCTGATGGACAGTGGGGTCAGTTAGTTGAGCAGAAATGAGCAGTAAGTTCCCCCACTCCCCAACATCCATCCCTGGGGTGCAAAGTCTGGTAAACACACAAAATTCAGTGTGTTTTATCCAAGTATTGTGTAAACATGTCATGTACAATTTGCATGTTTAGCATAGAAAGGTGGGATTTACCACCTTTGGGATTTCAGTCTGTCACTCAGACGTATGGCTTTAAAATCAGTGGCAAAGAAGGTGCAAACCTCTCATGGCTGATCAGCGAATAGAGGGTCCTAAGGGGGAAGGAGCTTTTCTGCAGATGAGCCACAACATGATGGCTGCTCTCATGAAGAGAGAATAATCTGGGGTGTGTTTAAAGGTACTGTGAGCGAACTGCGAACTAGTAAATCTCGGAGAAACAAGCAGATAGCTCTTACAATGGCCAGCGACAACACATATGGAACACCAAGGCTGGCGTGTGGGGTAGTAACCAACAAACCACCTTCAACTGTCTGATATAATCCCCAACACAGCAGGTGTGCACTGTGGCACATGAAGGTTCATTAGCATATGATGAGAGGTGACCATAAATGCTTTGGCTCGTCACTGCATGTTCAGATGACTAACAGCCAGTGCTGGGAACCAACAACAGCACTGACACGCCAAGCAACACGTCAGATATCAGTGAGACTGTAAAAGATGCTGGGAATGTTTCCTGGGAGAAGAATCCTTCTGGTTTCAGCTCCCACCAAAGATCAACTAATACATCAGCTCAAAGATATTACGTCTTTAAAAACACCAGCTCAGCTGACAGAATAACCCAGTATATATGATGTCTGCCATTTTTACTGCATGTTAAACAAATTGTACAGAGAAGATGGACACAGTCTCCACGACATTGCCAATTGGTTTTGGTTTAAACATTTTGAAGCCTCAGTGTTAGGAAACAAGAGGCTGTAAACATACATTTTAATGCTGTACTGGAGACTTCTCCACATCACCTGTCTTTTGCATAACTACATCAGATAATGATAAACTGGTGTTGGCACAGGTGAGCTTTCATCCATACTGAACTAATGTTATGCATATTAATCACTGAGCTTTAGCGGCTTCTGCTGGAGTGGCAGTAGAGTGGCTGCTATGCTATTTTCTCTCGGCTTTTCTCTTACATGGTTTGTTTGAGACACTTATGGTAAGAGCCGTTAACATGATGCCTGAATTACAAATGAAGGATTTGTCGTTGCTTGGAGAAAGAGTTATGGCTTCGCTTTCTTTCATTCCCACGTGAAAGCTTTACCAACCAGAGGCAGACCAGCTCATGCTGGATTTCAGACCTATTCTACTAGAGACGCACAATTCACTAGAGCTGATACACCGAGGCAAGGTTCATGGTTCAGCTTGGATTATGACCACATGTTACGATAAGACAGAGCAGCTGAGGCTAGCCTTAACATTTAAATTTGTGTTGAGACCTGGCTGAAAGATAGAGGAGCTGCAGGTAAACATGCAGGTTGAAATAAATCCTTTAAACTAGAGGAAAAGTTAAGGACTGAGCACAAAACCAAACAGAATCACTGTGAGCAGGCCCGGTGTCGTGTTTGGCAAGAACACTTTAGCACGAGAAAAGAAGGTCTGAGTCTATAAAAGGAAAGATTCAGCTGCTCCGTGTGTCCAGGTATGAAGACTGCAGCTGCTGAGGGTTCAGTCCACGTGCACATCTGCTTCCATAAAAAAGGGGTTTCAAAAAACAACTTTCTTTCAACTTTTGTGACACAAGGAGCCCCAAAAAAGCCAGACTCTGTTTAAGTGTGTTGATATTATTAAGATAATAGTGAAGATGAAAATAAACGAGCACAGCAAAGCAGTCACACAGCAGGCCTGCCGACACTTCTCCACACACCTGAGCGTAGTGTGAATCCTGTGGCAGAGAACTTCAAAGCACCAGAGTGATGTGAAATAAACACTCAGCTCATCGTCCTGGATGTGGGTGGAGAAGGTGGAGTAGGAGCGGGAGAAGAGTAGGTGTCTGGCTTTCTGGGTCCAAATGTGTTGGTACTGAGGGGAGAAGGAGACGGGCTACTCCTATGTTTTCTGAGGGTCCGGTGAAATGGGGCCAGGTGTGTTGGTCCCGTCCATGCTGTGCACTGGGATCTGGAACTGGGGGGTGACGACTGACGGAAACTGAAAGAGATTATCAAGGGGTGAGTTAGATGCACCGATAGATACAGAAAGACTGACTGAGAGCAGAGAGCGGCACTGACTTGGAACAGGTGGCCTCCCTGGCGTCGCGTGGCTGGGCTGAGTGGAGCGACCGGACTGAGCGTGCTCCAGAAGTGGATGTTGGAGAGAAGCGGGCTTGGAGTCAGCAGAAGCGTTGGAGTCTAAGGAGGACAAAACAAGGCCCACACTTAAACTAGACTGAGATTAATGTGCATAAATGATAAAGATGTTTTTATAGCAGATTTTTTAAAATAAATAAATACACATTGGGTGTCAGTTTGGCTCAGTGAGAGAGCAGCGGCCTGCTGCATGTCTTCCCTCTCCATCTTCACTGTTTCACTATCCAAATATGCAAAAACACAGAGTCATGACTTTCTAGTCATTGTGCTGCACAGAGGTGTCACGTTGCATTTTTGGAGTTTATTTCTAGTCTAACTGTTAGGATCACGATGCTTTTGTTCGACTCCAGTGTTGCCCATTAGCAGCAGCAGCATGTATTTCTCGGAGGAACCCTGAGAATGCAATTACAACGCACTAATAGACCTTATCAAGGTCCGGGAAGTAGGATGCTTAGGATGCTGCAGGATACCCAAGGGGATCATAGAGAATCTGCACATCCACAGCTACTTGAATGAATAAATATGCATGTGATATATGATCTGATATGGCACGGAGAGAGAATCACAAACCAAAGGAACAACTACCACCGAGTTAGTGCCAAAGCACTTTCACTTGGTTTTCTTTTTTGTTTATTGTCTGGCAGTTTTTGCAATCAGAATTGTGATCTGAATCCTTTGTGGTGCCAAACACACTTTGCTTTTGCAAGAACAGCTCTAGAGAATCTCTACAGGCTCGTCTTGCTCACATGACTCTTTTAACATTACTCATTTCTATTTGTGTTATTTCAGTTATTACACTATATGTGGCATATAATGACGATGTCTAAGGCAGGACACACACTGACACATTCAAAGACAATACACAGAATAATAAATACCAAGTGACCAAATTGAGACAAACAAGTCCCAGGCTGTGTGACGTAGGAGACTTTTTCCCCAGTGGCAAAACTTCTTTACCCAACAACACAGACATTATGTTAGACATCAGAAAAAAGAACAATAGTTTCCTGAAAACATAAAGAGACATTCAAACAGAAGCAAACTGCTTTTACATGACACCTTGGAAATTACTCTTTCATTGTTATTAAAAGTGATCGAGACCTCTCACACATTGCTTTAGTTGAAAAGATCCCCATTCAGTCTAAAAATATCTGGATAGGATTTTGATCTAGTTTTATAGAACGACAGGAAATAACAGGATGGATCACCATGCATTAAAAATAAACTACAGCTAAAACCTCTGATGCCACCAGTGCAGCTCTGACTCCATCACAGGCTGCGAAC